ATTGTCTTTCACTACCAGAGAAAATTCCTGAATGGATCCTTCCGTTACGATTACAAGATTTAAAGAACTTTTATCAATCTGGCTTTTGGTAACGACACTTTCGATTGTACATGATCTTAAACGCTTTATTTGCCTATTAAATATAATATAATACTCTGTAAGGCCCCCAAATTAAGATAATACCATAATCACAAAACACGGATATAGAACTACATTTATTTTATTATTTAGCGGAATGGTCCTTGATTAAAATATCCTGACAACGATCTAGAATTAGTTTTCAGTGGAATACACAACATAGCTTTTACTGGTCAATAAAAGGTTTTGTTGATATTAATATTCTACAGAATTAATGATAAAACAATATTAGTTTATTATTATATGGGTAACAAGAGGAAGTAGTGTACTTATTGTCGATAGAAATGGTTTTATAGAATGGGAAGTTGATTCAATTCTACTTCGCATAAAGTCGTAGTAAGGGCATTAAACAGTAAGATTCCTTACACCTTCTTGCGATTTTGAGAATGAGGGGATTAAAACTAATGATATGATTGCGTGATTTACAGGTACTTTAACCAGATGATCAGTTTAAAGCAGCCAAGTCTCTAACTCAATATCATCCAAAGTCTTCGACATTGAAAACACGAATTATTTGTCAATTTAAATCAACACTGATGTTATGATCTTACCGGGGAAAGTTGGGCTTCTGATATCCAATATTTAAGACAAAATAAACATTTTACCATCGGTACACGAATCGTAGGACGAGGCTAAAAATATTTCACGAGTCATGTCAAACAGTCACAGCATATTCTTATCTGGAGAGCATGCGCAATAAATACTGTCGGCGAAGACTGGAATAACCAGACGCTAGAGACTGCCATTAGATTGAAACATCTGGCGTATTTCGCCGAACATAACTGATTTGAAATTAGAGTATAAACAGAAACGATTGAATGTAAATCAGTTTATATACATTCATATTACATTATTATATACATTGTGTCAATTTCTAGATCCCAAATATTAGCGATTTAGGTCCTTAGGAAAATAAAAATAAGTTATATTACAATACATATTAGACACGGATTATATAACACAGTAATCTAGTGATTTATTGTTTCTGCAATAGATAGGAAGCGACAACTAAGTATCTTCAATTTTGGTATGACGTTTGGTACTTGTTGTCCTGCGTCAAACTGGGGAATCTAGTTTTTCTATAATCCCCTGCTCCCTAATTAAATAGCCAGGCCCACGCAGCAGCTTTGTCTCGAAAAATAAGATTGTAACCCCTATCACCTTCACCAGGTTTTCAGAAAAGGGGCATAACTCCAGAAAAGAAGGGCTGAATATCGCAAGAGTTCGTCATCTCATGACCTTAATGCTTCACGCCAAATTTGAAAAAAAAATCTGTTAAAATTAAGGCTTTATGGCATTCACAGTGGAGAATATTAATGGTTCCTGAGACCCAACCTTCCCAAATAATTCTGCAATAGCACAGTAAACGTTCCTTTATCATTAAATCAACCGTGCGTTCCCCTATAACGCGGGGGGGGGGGGGGCTGAACAATTTGGCATTGTTTAACATGGAAGGTGACTTTACTCAGAAATGGCACGAAAACAACCAATTTGATTGAAGTTTACTGAATAACAATTCGACATAATATGACATACAAAACTAGCCATTGAACATCCAGCCATGAAAATATTCAATTGTTTTTTCGGACAACTAGTTTCATTTTGTATAACAATCGTTGTGAAACTAAATCGGAGAGATTTTGATTTGACAGTTTTTACGTATTTTTGAAACAGGTTTCGAAGTGTTTAGCTTCTGTTATGCAAGATCTTTTTCGACGTTCCAAAGTTAAAGTTCGGTGCTAAGAGATATTTTAAATGTTCCTATTATTAATTAGAACAGGTTTCGCTTTAGATTTTATATTTTACGGTGATATTTATTGCTTTAAATCCTCCTAGTGCAAAAACGGAAAATTTGACCTGTATTCAGTGAGTACTAGTATAACAGTTTAAAAAACAACGTAGTCTTATAGTTAATAGATTAGTCTGTATTCAGTGAGTACTAGTTTAATAGGTTTTCTAAACACATTATTGAAAAGGTTTCTGCATCCAATTCTGCTATACGTAGCATGTTCATAGAAGCCATTGCTTACCCATTAGGTATATTATCCAAAGATGAAAATTCCTCATCCGAGATGACCACTGCGCTAATATCGATTTTCCATGAAAATAGCGCATTACTTGGTGTGTGTGTGTGTGTGTGTGTTAGTTGTATTTTACGTCCGCTTCCACCGAGGTGATATCGCAGACAATTTATTTGGTCGATAAGTCTGATTTTAAGACTTGGTGGCGCCATCGAGACTTTCAGTGTTGTCTGTCGGTTATAGATACAAAATTAACGATGGTTAAAAATGTGAGACTTACAACTTTTGAAAAGGTAATAAATAAATATAAAGTAGAACAGAAATGTATGATATTAAATATAAAGCGGTATACAAAGAAATGAAAATAAGGACTGCAAATGAAATGAGTAACACTTGCTATAAAAATCCTTCCTGGCATACTTGCCAAGTGTTACCCAGACTATGAGCCATAGAGTGGCTGTCTGGGTTACTAGTAAATCTTAACTGGCAATCTAGCATTAAAGTTACAATTTCATATATTTTCTAAGAAAGTCAAAACATAATTATTTCTATGTATTTTGCTCAATAGGTTGTCAACTCACTATTATACGATCATAGGTTATCTTTCTCACACTTAAAAATCTTCACACCGGAAATAATAACACAATTACCTCCCCTGTTTTTCTATTCCCCCACCATGGAATAGCTATCTTCAAACGTTTGAATATGAAGTTGAAAATGATATTTTAGCCAATTTCTCAACTGGCAATAGTAAATTATAGGATTAATAGGATTATTCTTTAACAAGGTATGACTGTTTATAGATACCATCTATTTTAGGGCTTTATTTTAATACATTTTAAAAATATAACTTAAAAATATGAAATTGTAACTTTAACATTATCAATTCAAGTCCTAGATATTCTTTAAGTTAAGTATTGGGAACTTTAATTGATATTGGAAGTAGGGCAATGTGCTTCAGGCAACAATCGAAAAGGAAATGAAGATTGGAGATGCCAATGAACTTCACTCAATTCAATTACTTATTCTTAGAAAATATAAGTGCCGGACTAAAATCATGAGGCTAATGTATTTTTCTTAGCGTGAGGGGTGGGGTGTGGGTGCTCTCAAAGCAAAATTGTTAATTGGTAGGATACGTAAAACCTATTAACCTGTCCTACTAATCACCAACAAGAACCGACAAGAGCGTTTTTGTAATTATGTTCCAATGGTAATAATATCCTATCACACCAGTTCCCGACGGGATCTTCCTGAGACTGGTCATACGGGCATCTACATGAGACCGCGAAGTAAACAAATTGGGTGGGATACAAATACCCCCCAAAACAATTAATGAGAAATAGGTGAATGATGCTCGGGTACGTACAATATCCACGCTGTTATTAATGTGTAGCTTTGCTATTCAACAGGACCTATACTCAACCATCATTATTGTGTAAAATTAATATATTTAAACGGTTTTTAAAGTCGTATAAACATTGTGACCTCTAGAGGGCCCACAAGCCAAAAATGTGATTTTTCGTACAATCACGGGCCATAATCCAGAAAGTTACGGTCTGATAACATGCAGGAATATTGTATTGAAAGGAATTGGGGGGGGGGAAGTGGCCAAATGGTTAGCGCGTGGGCATTCTATCATAAGGTCTGTCATTGAGCCAAATGGTGTAGTTACTATTCCTCAGGGTTGTATGTGACAATCGCCTGTCCCACCTCGTGGTTTTTTTACGGGTTCTCCAGTTTCCTCCCACTGCTAAAGACCCCTACGCGCAAGCGAAATATTGAAATAAAATTTAACCACGTGTTAGTCCCGAAATGTCCTAGTTTGTGTCGAGTGAACGTTAAACCCCATTTAGCTCTCTGTATGTGACAAGGAGTAGGGTCGCCTGTCCATCCTCATGGGTTTTCTCTGGGTCTTCCGGTTTCCTCCCACTGGTAAAGACCACTACGCGAAAGCGAATTATTAAAAAAAATTGAACCATATGTTAGTACGAAATGACCTAATTTGTGTCGAGTGGGCGTTAAAGCCCATTTTTCTCTCTCCCTCTTTTTGGGATATAAGCATATCTTTTAAGTTTCATCTAAATTGGATAAAAATTGTGACATCTAGAGGGTCTACAACCTTGGTTTTAGTTTTACATACTTTTGTACTATTGCGTACAAGAAATTCGAATATAACCATCATTATTGTGTAACGGGGAAATTTGAACTCAACCGTCATTAGGTATAATGGTGATATATTTAAAGGGTTTTTAAATTCGTATAAAAATTGTGACCTCTAGATGATCCACAAACTAAAAAAACGTGATTTATCATACAATCAGTGGCCATAATCCAGAAAATTAGGGTCCGATATGTGCGAATATCGAAAGGAACCGAGATCTTGGGAGATAAAAATATATTTTAGGTTTCATCAAACTCAGATAAAAATTGTGACCTCTGGGGGGGGGGGGGGCACATGGTAGTACATACTTTTACACTATTGGCGTACAAGTAGCGGCCATTTTGTTGGGCAGTTTCTATCTAATTTTCACAATATTCTCACTGAACCATCATTAGGGTGTAACAGTTATATGTTCGTATGGCTTTTTTAAATCGTATAAAAATTGTGACCTCTATAGAGAATTCACAAGCTAAAAACGGTCTGATACATGCCAATATCAAAAGGAACAAAGACCTTTTGGAGATAAACCTATATTTCATGTTTCATCAAAATCAGATAAAAATTAAGACGTGTAGAGTGTCCACAAACACATTGTGGGCGACGACAATATACGTGAACATGAAAATGTGGGCATATAAAAATGTGTTTCTTAATCACAAACACAAAGATGACACAAAATCTAATTTCATAGATTTTTTATTATTATTTAAGTTATTGTTATTACATAATTTATAACAATATAGACACTAACAACAAATTCGGTTTCATAAAATAAAAGTTATCAGATAATAGTATAAATACAAAGATACCATAGTATTCGCTATGAACACATCAAATAAGAAGAGTTATCGATTGTCTAGAAAGAGGAAGCATACACTGCCTTATTTACAATACCTGTCACAAAATATTTCAGATATAGACATGATTTATTCTAATTGTATCAAGATATCTGCACCATTTTGAACAGCTAATACTTTTAAGCTTGAAGCTAGTTCTCAAAATATAACAATAGGATCAAAATGGTATTAATATTTTTCTTTCAAAATCAACATGATTTAGTTACTGTATCGTAAACACCAGTTACAGATATGTGTTTAATCTTGAAATGTGTTATAAATACGGTTTTAGTTATTGTGTTTTAAAAATATGACCAGTTTACAAATCTGATTAATTTTTCTGAGTAAAAACAATTTTATGGTGATGGGAGGGAATCTGAGTAACTCTTCTGAGTAAAAACAGTATTATTGTGCTGAACGAGAATCTGAAGATCACATCTTATGTGTCAACATTATATTATAGAATAAACAAAATAAATATATAACCAGCACTATTTTACTTTCTAAGTTATATCTACGGAACATCTATATTTAACAATAACAAATATAATATATGTAATACATTAAAACAATAACAGGCATAATAAATAAATGTAAGAATCACCTACCAACTGTACATGTTTTTATTACTAGTTATAAAGTTTTACTGTATGGATTTTTATGCCAAATATCTACAAAATAAGGACGGTTTTAGAGGTGTGCCAGATAGTTTCCTAAATTTTTTCTGTTTGCTTTTGTTATATTCTTACCTTCTAAATGGTAAATTGAAAATCTAAGCTCATCAAATAATTTTTGATGTTTCGATTTAGATTACATGGCCAATTGGCATTCCTGGTACAATTCCAATAATTTCTGACAAATCTGAAATTATACTTGACGTCATGCGAAAGGAAGGGTTAACTTAAAAACTATGAATGGCCCATTCCTCATTAAGATTTTATGTCTGGATAATCCTCGAGTGATTTAAGTCATCTTGTGAGCAAATGTATACATTATATGCAATTAATTATAAATGTACAGTTACATAATTATGTAAATAGTGTTGTAAAAGGATCGTTTCTTATTTGTACAACTTAATGGACGGTTTACAAAGTCTGTGTATATCATGCATCAAATAAAAAAATAGACAGTTTTGTACATATAGTTGTAAATGGACAGTTTCTAATTTTTACTGGACAATGATGGATGGTTATAAATGATATGTGTGTAATATATAGAGGATATTTGTCGTTTTAGAGTGAATAACATATTTTATTTCATCTCTAAGCAAGAAAACTTATATTTTCACGAATGTCCATATTCATATATGGACAGTACAACCACATTCGTTTATGACAATGATGGATGGTTATAAATGATATGTGTGTAATATATAGAGGATATTTGCGACAAACCAACAAATGTTCTATTTATTTTATGATTTTACAATCATTTTAGGTAAAAACAACTAGCCAGTGGAATAACACTTTTATTTCACTGATAAAACGCGGTATTCCACTACTGATTATAAAATAAATCGTATTATACCACTCCTGTTTTAATTATTTTATATAACGAACTAATATTATTTGATTTTATAGCTGATCTACATGCATTCACTACTTGTGTTTTATATTTTCCAACTGCAAAAAATAAAGTTAATATAATTGCAACTTTAAAATAAGTTCAAAATGTGGATAAAGGAATTATAAGAAAGAAGATCTGCACAGTATTATTCACAATTGACAAATATAATTTTACAAACAAAAATTTGGTGAAAATTCATTATTTCAAATAAAGACCTCATTAACCTCAAGTGAATATTCTGATTTCTGAATAATGAATATTACTTCAGCCAAGAAAGTTGTATGGATTAACATTGAATATTGGTATCAATTGCGGTAGAAAATGACACCAATAGTCAATTCATGTATTTACAATAAGATGAGGTTAATACAGTGCATTGATCAATTTTCTGTTATGAGGTTAAAGGATTGATCCCTTAATTATCAATTTATAAAATCAATATAACTTTCCCTTTTTTATAAAATAAAAAAAAAATATTCTAGTTCTCAGACACTCCAGGGTCACATAAAAAGCACCTGATGACTTGTTTTTTTATCAGATATACCCTAAGAAAATAGTACTGACCATAATTTTCATCAGAGAAGATATCAGATATACCCTAAGAAAATAGTACTGACCATAATTTTCATCAGAGAAGATATCAGATATACCCTAAGAAAATAGTACTGACCATAATTTTCAGAGAAGGTATCAGATATACCATAAGAAAATAGTACTGACCATAATTTTCATCAGAGAAGGTATCAGATATACCATAAGAAATTAGTACTGACAATAATTTTCATCAGAGAAGGTATCAGATATGCGTCAAGAAAATCAGAATTCATCAAATATAGTCAATGTTTTGCTACATTTCCTAATGGCTTTTTTAAAACCTTTAATAATGAGCTTACCTCTTAATCTGCCAGCTTTCTGTATAACTTGATTAACTTTTTTTAAGCATGACAAAAGTTCTTGGTGATTATTACAACGTATTTTATAACCACTGATTAAATCTCTATTTAAATCATATAATTCCATATAACCAGTTCTCATACTTTTCCTGTAACATACATAACAAAAATATCTTAAAGCGATAGTTGCATATTTTCTAAGAAAACCTAATTACAGTAAATATGTCTTTCTTTAGGCCTGAAATGTTATCTAAATTATTAATTAAACATTGACTAGCTTATCAAGATCATAATCAACTCACGATTCCATCGTTAGCCTGTGATATTTAGTTTATTATGGTCCAAACAGTAATTTGAATCGCTAATTATGTTGGTTCAGAGTAAAGCAATTTGACTTAAATTTTCAGCATATTCTGTATTCATTATCTAGTTTTTAACCATTATAGCGAGAACTTTTAGCTCTTTATCTAATCTTCCATAATGCACCTTTAATAGTTTGTTAGATCACCATTATACAATCATAGGAATCATTTTAGCACTAAAATAATAATAACAACGGAAGTAATAGTAATTTTACCTCCCATGTTTTCTATACACTTCACAGGCGCGGATCCAGAGGGGGGGTCCAGGGGGTCCGGCCCCCCCCCCCCCCCTGCTCAGACTTGAAAATTTGAAGGGTCCGAGAAACTTAAATCAAATAGCCTGAATCTGACCCAAAAATTGCGAGTTTGTATACAATGAGTGGAGTCATGACTTTCATTCCATTGTGGGCAAAAACAAATAGTCACATACAGCTCTGGCAATTAGCCAAAAACGTCAACAGCATAAATTGCCGTCGGGACTAATTGACCCCACGGCAAATCGCTGATTGACGACGGCAATTTATTAATACCGTACTGTATGAAAATATAAGTTTATTGAAATTTAAAGAGTTTTATTAACACTGTTCGCCTGTTGACGTTGAATATTGTTGTGTTTGCTTTTTAATTTTATCGGCGACGTTGATAAGAAAAAAAACCTGGCCCCGAGTTCACAAAGCATTCTCAGACTTAAGTTAAGAATTTACTCAAAATTGTTCGCCTTATTTGAACTAAAAGATAGCCCTTTATAAAACTTTTGTTGTTTTAAAGTATCAAATACATCAATAAGAAAGTATGTGCAAAGTTTTGTGTTTCTGGATCAAAGATATATCTCATAAACAGTGATTGAAAGTTGAGTAAATTCTTAACTTAAGTCTGAGAATGTTCTGTGAACTCGAGGCCAGGTCATTTATTTTATCAAATTTAAAAAAAAATATAAAAAATATGCTAGCGGAATTTATAAGATTTTTTAAAAATTTGATACATAACATATACACCGCTTATGTTTTATTATTATTATTATTTAATTATTATTATTATTATTATTATACCTGAAGAGAATGTCTTATTAGGTGAACTTGAAACATGCCCTTACCGCGAAGCAGTGGAAGTTAGGCCTACTACAGCAATCGAGAGTGCAGGTAAAATACTTCCGACTTTTTTATACGCGCATTTAAAACAATTGCTGCGTGAGACGTAACCCCACGTGTGTTTAAAATCGGGTAATTAGAGATTAACAATAAACTAAATTCATCATCAATCGATTTATTTAATTTCATGCTCTGAAAGTAAAAACAGTAAACCAAGTCTATAGACTTTTCGGCTGTGAAAGTTTGTGCTCTGGAAAACCCCGACCAACTTTCCTATACTTAAATGGACTGGTTACTCTTAATAGTAAATTGATACTGCTAATAAAGCTTGTTAAGAACAACCATAGTATGGCATCTGAAGATATTTTGTTCCTTACCTGTGAAGGGAGCATTCCCCATCAACATTTTAAGGACATTTTATGCGATTTTATTGGCGATTTTTAGACCTGTAATTTTGGAATTTACCTTTCGGAAATACGTCAGAATGCACCAAATTGAATCTAATTTACCAAATTTTTCTGGGGAAGGGCCCCCCAACCCCCCGTTACAATCTTTAGCGCCTTCGGCGCTCGCGGCGGTGGGCTACGCCCACCACCATTAGTTAAGCAATTATCCAACCTAGACCCCCCCCCTGCAAAAAACTCCTGGATCCGCGCCTGCTTCATGGAATTGGTAAAGTACAACGTTGATGCTTCAAGTTGTAAATGATATATTTGAAAATATATATCAACTAACATACATGAAACCACTTGAGAAGTGCTTTTTACAACCCTCCAAGTTCATCGCAGCAAGAATATTCATTCAATTTGATTCACTCACTCCATTCGTTTGACACCTTCCTCTCAAAATACTGTGGTGGAAATATTCATTCACTTTGATTCATTCACTCCGTTCATTTGACACCCTCCTCTCTGGTGGAATGAACTAGTGGTTTGGTGACAGGCAGTATATGCCTGAAATACTGCCAGACTGCATTTCCAGCAGTCTTTTTTCAAAAATTTCTGGGGGAGGCCCCTAGTTGAAACTCACGCCTTTGTCCCCTTAACCTTAGAGACCAGTATCCAATATACATCAGGGTTGTTTGAAATACAGTTCTTCACTTACTGACCATTCAAACATAATATCTGGACAAATGATTTTTTCTGTCTAGTCAGTATGAATGACTAAAGTCGATATCTTGCACGGCCGTAAATTTTGGCATCTAATTGCAGCCTGTCCTGTATTAAAGGGAAGTAACTCTACCTAAATGTGTTTAAACTCCAAAGTGAAAAGTAAAGCCAAAAGACTCAACTGAAAAAGATTGTGCTTATTACAAGAAGTGAGTTAGGCTATTTCAAGATTGAGTTGGCTGAAAGATTTTCCACAGGTGTGATACAAAAATAGATAATATAAGATGAGAAGTTAGATAAGTGGATTTAGCTATGGGCAAGTTAAATTCTCTATGGGGGTACTCGATTGAATGTTCTGGAATTGAATTCTCTCAGTCCCAAAAGTAGTGACAATCGTGTGAACAGGTGGATTTCGGGCTACAACGCATGCGTCGACTAAATAAGAAAATATCTTAACCAACCATGCAGCCGATACATATATGTTGTGTTTTATTACGTCATGATTCTACTCACAACACCTCCATTATCGGGACTAGCAGAACAGTAACAGGACTGAATTCTGCGTTACTCGATTACAATTCCATGAATTCAGGACATTCAGACTGACAATCAAGCATCACCTATGTAGCTACCCATTGGGCAAGTGTCCACTTTTCATATTGCAACAACCCTGTATGTTATTTATCAAATTAATCAAACTTACATGTCCCCCATTAATCTGGCATCTTCTGCTCTTACAACCATACTGCGTATCAAGTTAGAGTGATCGGCCATTTCTGCTGTAAGTTTCTGCCGCACAGAATGAAAATCATCAACCTAAAGTAAAACCACAACAACTGTATAATACACGAACACTATTTATGGAATAACAATTACTGGTTTATTAACAGAAGAATTGTATAATGTTTACTCTTTCAATAATCTACAATTTGGTGAGAATGATTAAATATATGTGGTGACTTGTTAAATCTCTGTATCTAAATAAGGTTTTGTGAAAGACAAATTTGCTCACTAGGTATAAAAAGAACTAAATATGTTTTATCAACCTGATAAAAGCCAAAATACATATAACTAGACCACATGCACATGTTTATGGAACTGGAAACATAGACTGGCAAGCAATTAACTTTAACCTGGTAGAAAAATGATATTTCACAAATTTACTTGCATGTTTTGTAAAAATGTTTCATATAAAGAGTCAATGGTTTAACTTCCGTTCAAATATTCATCAAAATACACTTCTTAAGATATTGTCGGAAACTGTTGAAAATCTAGTCAGAGAAAGGACAAGCTAGGTGGCCTACATATCCACATGACACAGTCCATATCATATATTATCCACTAGACACATGGAAGGACAGGGGCACAGTTTATTCAAGTTAATAAAATATATGTATATTAAAAACAATTATATAATCAAGCCTAGTGGTCTTTTTTATTAATGTCTCAGGCATTGCTAGAAATAAAAGTATGTAAACTTTGACTTACTCTAACTAAAATTGTCTCTAATGTTCCCATCTCAATAGGAAAATCTACTATTGACTGTAAATCTTCTATTTTAAGGAATGTTGCTACAGCTTGTATAATATCACCCGCTACATCCATATCATCAGTTTTAATAACAAGCTATTTTATAACATATAAAATAACATCAGGTTGAATAGCTATTTATTGAATATAAATTAATATCAACAGTGTACTAGCTACCTCTTTATAAAATATAAGTAATATCATCAGTTGTAATAGCTACCTATTTATAAAATATAGACAACATTAGTTTTATTGAATATAAACTAACTTCATCAGTTTTAATAGCTACCTATGTATACAGCATAAACTAACTTCATCAGTTTTATTAGCTACCTATTTATACAGTATAAACTAATATCATCAGGTTTAATAGCTACCTACATTTATTGAATATAAACTAATATCAGTTTTAATAGCTTCCTACATTTATTGAATATAAACTAATATCATCAGTTTTAATAGCTGCCTATTTAATGAATATAAACTAATGTCATCAGTTTTAATAGATATTTATTTATTGAATATAAACTGTCATCAGATTTAATAGCTATCTATTTACATATAAACTTATAAATATCATCAGCTATCTATTTATTCAATTTAAATTAATATCATCAGTTTTGAAAGGTTTCAGTTTATAAACTCAATATAATATTCCCAGTTTATACAATAAAAACCAAATCAATACTGTTACTGAATACTGGGACACAATACCATAATTAGGATTTCTATTGTCTTATTGTATATTTGAACAAAAACTAACTAATTTTTTGATGTTTCACTTAATTTTGATGTTGTTAAATTGAAATCTGAAATATTTCTTTGTATTTGGCGTTTTTATAGTCACTGTTATTTGTTCATTCTTCATAATTAAATCTAAGGAGTTCAACATTTAATTGAAAACACAGATAGGCTTGGACAGATTTGAAAAGAACACATATCATTTACTGCTTTAAATTCTCTTTTCTCTTATTCTCATATAGAGTTAAATTTAAATTGAATCACAGTCCTTTACATATTGCATTTAGAGCTGAGCTTATCCCAAAACATCCCATTAAACTAATATTTATATATTTACCTGTCCATTCTGTTCCATCTGAATTATAAGTGGACCCGTTCCTCTCAGAGACATGAATGCTACTTTTAAATTTCCTTCACATTCTAAATCATCTTGCATTAAAAAGTTCTGGTTTATCCACATCAAAACCTAATAAATTACATAAAACAACATCAATTAAATCTTGAATTTTGTCAATGAATAGAATAAGTTCTCATATGTCCTATTTTATGTTAATTGAATTCTATGAATAATTATTGATTTGATAAACACCCATAGATCAAATCTAAAACTTATTATTATTCTTAGGATTGTGTCGTGTAATGGATCTCTTATCTACTAAATGCCACTAAAAGAGTATCAGAAATCGATGGCTTAAAAGAAAAATCCCAGGTGATTAAACATTGTTTATTCTGCAGTGAAGGCACTTTATAATTATTTAAAATGAAAAATTGGAGGTTGACATTTTAAAAGAGTTCTGTAACATATAAAGCGTTGTAGAGATCATTTCCAAATAGCTCAATATTTTGAGCTGAAACATTTAGACTGTGTAAATTGAGATTAAAGTTTATCGAAGAAAATTGTGACTTTACACTTAAATTCGGAATAATTTGAATGCACATGAAAAAATCTCAGCCGAAAATGTACTTTTATTAACCAAAGATGCTTTTATTTCTGTAATGGTATCTTATTAATGTACGTTTCTAAACCTTTCTTCACTTTAAAGGCAACACCAATGAAAAAAATTACCCTTTGTACACGTTCGTTGATTTGGAATGTGACCGAGCTTTTTGGTTCTGGAATATTATTTTCACAGAGAGAGTACATAGAAAATCTAGGTAACTGTCTTGTTAACTCAAATACATGGAACTGTGTGCTGTAATTAATTAAAACCATAGTTATTTATGAGCTTCATGCATTTCTTTTCCAAGCATTTTAATTTCATTTGGTTTACATGAATCTTAGGACAAAATATCTAAAAGTATTACTAAACAATTAAATGAAAGTACTTAATTGTTGGTCCAAAACATACCAAATTGGCAGAAATACAAACAAATGTCACAATGAGCTGGTAGAGCTGATAGCAGATGGATTTGTTTCATAATATAATCCAACACAGCAAATTTGACAATGAATGCTTGTGGTCATGGACGATGTTTCTATCTGATATTGTCATGTTTATTAGATTGTCATTGTTTGTGAAATTGAAATAATTTTTATTCTAGAATGTTCATTCAAATTCCTCAAACATCAGAGATATCATACTTTTGATATTGTATATTAACAGCCTTAAAAATGTATTTTATGTTTACAGCAATAGATATTTTATTTTACGCTAATAATATATATATTATAATGAATGTTTCTTTATGTTTGCAAGGGGAAAACATACCTAGTTTTTGAACCAACCAATGTTTTTATATGTAAATCGACTAATACATCTTTAGGAGGAATAATTGGAACTTTTAAATTACAGGATAGGTTTGTACTAATAGGATGACTGAAAGAAATAACATAAAACATTTATTTTTTATTGAGTTATAGAAGGCATAGTCAATTTTAATAAATATAATTTCAATATCATATTTAAAATAATTTGAAACTCATCTAATTACCAAAAATCTATTAAGACATTTTGAATGTGCATGAAATCAGTTGTATTTGGATATTGATATTTCGTTTGTTATACATGAAGATCTAACCAATTGTAGTGGGAGGTCGTGTCAGGGGTAATACGAGCAGGTTTTGACCCTATGACGTCAGACTTTTGATCAATAATTAGCGTTGATGATTCTACTGGGATACCCACAGTTCCGCGCAATGCCCACCAAGAACTCGTCGCAACAGACTCTTCATTGGCTAATTACTCACATCAATCAGAACACGGATTATATAACAACTCTTCCAGAACCTAGTGTAGTAAAGAAAAGTTAAATGAAATTTTTAACTATAAAAAACAAAACGAAATAGGATCTGTGTTTTAATCAGATTGATTTCAAGCAGAAGTGAGGGTTTCTCAAATACTATAGGGCAAAAGTCTTTAGTAGCCACCTTATATCACTGAAATTTTCTATTAACTTACACAACATGGCTTTCTCCTTCAAATATTCCTTCTGCAAATATTAAAACAGCTCTAATCACTGTATCTGTAACAATAATCATAATAGCCAGATTATTAATTTACATTTTACATCTATAACCTTGTTCATTATGTCATTACTCTTTAAACCAGGTTAGCTCAGCTGACTGAGCAGAATTCATTGCATGAAAACTGGCAATGAACATCTGAGTTTTTGCTTGATAATTCAATCTGTTCCTAACGATATCGATAACCACATTCATTATACAAACAAATAAATTTTTTAGCTTTATATGGTAGTCTGGAATCAATATCAGATATCAATTAAATTCAAAATGCTTCTTCTTCTCATGACCTTAAACACTGTGAATAAAATTTAAACTCAATTGGATATTAACTTTATCCTCTAGAGCATCCACAAGCAGTTGTGAAAGACGGATGGACAGGGGTGACAACAATATACCACCACATTTAAATGTGGGCATATACAAATAAATTGATAAGCAATAACATAGGGTTTCCATGATCAGAAAGTCTGATAGCCAATGTATTTGGAATATCTATATAGCTTCATTACATTAATTAGGTGTGTAATATAAATAGAGAATCTCCTTCATATCAAAAAAGATGAGTAGGAGATTTTATTTATCACCCAATCCTTTCTTACATGCACAAATAAATAAATATAATTCTTTGCTATAGCTTTCACTTTTAGTGAATCTGATTACATTGAGGCTTAGTGATACATAATTTGCAAAGTCCTTTATATTGACCCAGTGTTTCCATCAAGGTCAATTAAATAAAGATAGTTCATTTTTAATAAGAAAAAGAAGTTACTTTTAAGAAAAAATGAACTGTTCTTTGAAAATAAAAAAAGTAGTTCCTTTTCAACTGACCAATCAAATTCATGTAAAGCGATATCTCCTAAGGAGCAGTAGATTATGAAATTTATCACACAAGCGATATCAACTGTAGAATGTATTATTGGGTGATAAAGTCTACTAACCATTGGATGTACTAATTAACAGTTCCACATGTGCCTGAAAAAGATTTTATATGTACTTGAAAGTTTAATTGCATTTTGTAAATACATTCATAAATTGTTTCACTGACATTTAGTAACTGAACTGGAATTACATAGGTCACAATTCTATGGAATATAATTACTGCTTATTACTGAGAACATTTTGACTATATATTCACACACAATATACTGTAACATACTATTGAGATGAATTAAACAACATAATGACATACCAAAATGTATTTAAGAATAATTTTAACAAACTTACAGGTGTCTTCTCATCACCAGGATTCACAGCTAAAGTTGTTTGTAGTTGTGTATTAGCCTGAAAAATGAATAGATATATTTTCCTACTAAATGTTATCATCATATGGTACAAAATGCTATTGCCAAGTCTAGGGAAACTAAATTTCGGTTATTCCCACTTTGAGTCAATTCTAAACTTGTCTATAGATATACCTTTTTTGGTTTTAATAATACATATGAGCATATCTGTGGTGTATATAAACCCTTGTGTGTTATATTGAGTCCGGCACACTATGTGGATTCTATTGAATTTCAAACAGTACTATGTAGACCAGAACCAAGCAGGGTGTCATCGTCTCCATATTGGAATTATATCATATCAAAAATCAAAGTCTGTCAATCGATGCACAATTGTCAAAGGAGCAGGCATGCCAAATTTCATGTTGGTCATACTTGAATTACCCGAGTTGTAGGTTCGTTTGGAATGAGTAGCGCTTGGGGATTTATTACTAGTCCAAAAAAGTGGTATTTTCTACAATTTTCTTTATATATATATTTTGTGTACTTACAGGTATAATTCCCATCTGTGCGTTATCATATTCTCCTATTTGTCCCCCTACAGTTGTAATGTGAGCACCAGATGCAGTACTACCAGAATGGCCACCAGATCCACCTGATGATCCAGTACCACCAGCTATCAGAGCAGACACATTCCCACCAGAGCCTAATCTCATATTCTCTTCATAGTTTTTTAATTCAAGCATCAAATTCTAAAACAAAACATTATAATTTTAAATATAAAAACCTTAAAATAAGTTTTGATATTTTGATTATCTGATCTGACATTAATTTCAAACAATTATTTTTCTGGGCACAATGTAGAAAGAAAGAATAATAATCATTTGTTAGATTTACCTGCTTTCTCTGACTTAACTCGCGAATACTGTCTTGTTCTAAATTAGAATCCATCAAGTTCCCGGACATATCTGGTGCTGCTGGGTTGTAACCACGAACTTAAAACATTTTAAAATAATTTACACACAAAGACTGGATAATTCACTACAACATTTCAGTTTTATTCTCTCCACTTGTAAATTCTATCAACCATTAATATTAACTAAGATTAACTAATATGTAAGAAATACATATTAGTGTCTAAGGGCTGTCGGCTCTTATCCTTCTGTAGGTAAAGTTGTAATTTATCAAAATATTATGAGGCAAATTAAACTATCAACTTTAAAATTGGAAAAAGATTGAAAAGAATATCACATAAACTGGGAATATAAATGAAAAGAGTAAAAGAGAAAGTTCTGATTAGAATATAAATGCATCCTTCTCCTTCGAAGGCTTTTTCATTTCTCTTTTTCTACCTCCAAATGATATTTGTTTAAAACAATTCAGAACAATATGTGATTTTATGATGATAATAGTTTTGTTGAAGTGGTTTAAAGATACAACATTAAGAGACCCAAGAAATGAGATGAAAGAAGGTAATTACTGGACTATCAACAGCATTTAGAGACCTAATAAATGGGATGAATCCGTCTTTAAAGAAGGTGAGAAATGTGTATAAACATCCACTCATTAAAAACTAGGTTATTTCTGGACTATTATTTCATTAATTTGCATTCAGGTCTTTAGCAGTGGGAAACAAGCCAACAATGAGGCTGATGTCCCCCGTCGCATTCCCAAAATAAATAAATGACAGATACTAATTAATTGCACATTTATCTTTTTGACAAGTATTGAGCAATGAAACTGATTATCTATACTTAGCCAAAGCAGAAATGTTCATGATCAAACTCAGTCAAGGTTTTGAAGTACCTGGTAGTAAAACTATACATTAATCATGATCGAACACTGTCAAGGCATTCATCTAATAAACACATACACCAAGTTTGAACATTATATCTCAATTAAAAGGAGAGTTATCGTGTTCCAAGAAAAGTGACGGATGGATGGACATACCCATTTTAATAGTATAGGCCCCTGCTTTTTTCGAAAGGCGAGGGACAAAATACATAGTAATGGAAGAAAGAATGGTTAACTACTTAATATTTCAAAACTGTTTAGCCATAACATTAAGGATTATAAATATTTTGTGAGATTTGTATAAAAATAAAATACCCTCTCCTTCTGTTGAAACACAAATAAGTTGATCTGATGTTGCTGAAGCATCCATTCTGTAATCTCCCTACAAAAAAAAAAACATAATTATTTACAATATGTTTTACTAATTAGTTGCAAAAATTCCATCCAATCCTCTAACTGGGATTTTTGGAAAATATTTGAAATGAAACCACCTTAAGGTCTTGCATGAAAAAATTAAATTCTTTTCAACAACTGGTAGAGGGGTTTAACTTTAAATCCCCTTCCCCCTCCCTCGCCCTATTCCTTCACTATGGACTGGTCTGTTGAGAGACAGAAAGCATTAGTTGAGTTGAGAGGGGCTCATTAATGACCTCTAGAATTATGACCATATATTTTACAAGACTGAATTGTCTTTAATAAATAATTAATGGATTACCTGAACAATACCAGCTAAAGAATGTGTAAAGTTATCTTTAAAAATAACTTCCCCCGTTCTATCACTTCTAGCATCAATCTGTATAACAATAACAACAATGTACTATATTATCAATTGTAATTATAATGAGGTTATTCTAATCAGTTTAATTACATACTTATTAAAGTCATGATTCATTTGCAGTTTTGGAAAAATTTCAAATTTTCTAAGACACTTAAATGTATTATTAAATGGATTATTTAACATTTAATTAAGGAAATTGGATTACAAAGAGGCCCTTGAAAAGATTCGGTGAAACTCATAGGTGGCTCTTTCATCTACCATTTACCAGCATGTATAATACAAAGAGATTGAGAAATGGGGGTTTAATAATCCTGTTGGCACAGATTGAGAAAAAATATGCTTTAAAGGAGCTAAATCGCTAATATTTGGGGCCTAGAAACTGACACAAATGGGTAACAGCGCATATAATAATGTAATATGAATGTATATAATCTGATTTACATTCTATTGTTTCTGTTTTTACTGGTTATTCCAGTCTACACCCACAGTATTTATTGCACATACTCTCCAGATAAGAATATGGCATTTGACATGACTTGTGGAATATGTCTAGCCTCATTCTTCAAGTTCTTTGTAACAAATGGCCCTGAAACGCATTATGGTACACGATTTGCGTACCAATGGTAAAATGTTTATTTTGTCTTAAATATTGGATATCAGAGGCACATCTTTTCCTTGTAAGAAGATCACAACATCAATGTTGATTTAAATTGGCAAATAATTCGTGTTTTCAATGTCGAAGACTTTGGATGATATTGAGTTAGAGACTTAGCTACTTTAAAATCAAGGTTGAATATGATACAATATATGGCATCTATGATTTGTGACAAGGCACTATCAACTCTGTTCTTAAGATTTGTATTACCTTTCCATTGCTCCAACCCGTTATAAGTTCCTGTACACCATCAGCATCCAGATCAAAACTTTCTATCGCTACAGCATGATTCTTAGACTGAAATATTTAATCCCATTCAAATTGTACTACATCTACAAATAAAATATACACTAATGGCCTGGAATAGACTTTTGTATCTCAACTTCTCTAACAAATAAATTACAATGAAGAAATTTACACTTCCAAATTAACTGGTAGATCACAAATTGGGAAACCTTGGTATAAAGATATATTTTTTGTAACTACAATAACTTTTTAGTTCACATGCAATTAATTTTTAACCATATTTCTATAATCACACGTTTTTCTTGGATTGCTTCCCTTGTCATTAGTTTGTTTTCATTTTGATTGAAGCCTGTATCACTACAATCCTATGACTAACAGCGCACTGGTCTCCTATGGCCAACCTTCAGATCCATTCACTTGATTGTTTGAGGTGTCTGTGTATTATGTCCTGTACGTATGTTTCTCATCTGTAATTGTTTATTTGTGGTATAATCCCCCTGCAGTTACTATTAAAATTAAATAAATAACTAAATAGTCACCTTTATTCTCCAGTATCTAGAAGTTTTTTCATATACTCCTACTGTACCATTAGATAAAGCATAACCAAACTTTCCATCATTCATAGGACAAAGAGCTGTTATAGTCTGTAAAATAATATACATGTATCAGTATATGTAGTTATATTATAACTAAGCAAGGTTGGTTATAAGGTAGATTTTGATATAAATTTAGCAAGGTTGGTTATAAGGTAGATTTTGGAATAACATGGGTGTTCAACACATCTCTAAACCATTAAACTGCTTTTTCTGACAAAAGAAGCTGACTTCAGATTGTCATTTACAGATTAAACTAAATGGTGGGAGAGGGAAATGGGGTTTATCGTCCACTCAACATAAAGTAGGTCATTTCGAGACTAACATATGGTTCAATTTTATGGGGTATTGGTCTTTAGAAGTGGGAGGAAACTGGAAACCTGGAGAAAACCAATGAGGTTGGACAGGTACCTCTTCTTGTTGTCACATACAAGAGGGGAATCGAAACCATGCACATGACTCAATGACAGAGAGAAAAGGTGGGTTTAACGCCCACTCGACACAAACTAGGTCATTTTGGGACTAACATATTTTTTTTTTCAATAATTTGCTTGCGCGTAGGGGTCTTTAGCAGTAGGAGGAACCAGACGACCCGGAGAAAACCGACGAGGTTAGACAGATGACCCTACTTCTTGTCACATACAATCAAGGAATCAAACCACACCAGCTGACTCAATGACAGACCTTATGATGCAGCGTGCATGCGCTAACCATTCGCTACCCCCAAAAAAACTAAACGGGCAATGTGGTACTTGAAATATTCTTGTTGCTAAAAATAGAATTATATAGTGTCTGAAACAGTAATTAGTATATTGAAAACATGCCGTACTTCCGTCTCGGTCATTTCAGCAATAATTTCATCTTCTTTAAATATTCGAATATCAAAATCTTCAGATCCAACAACAAGCTGAAATGAAAAATATTAAAGTTCATTTCAAGATTTCCCTGACTTTTGGAAAATGTAGATAACAGCATATTTGTCATAAATTAATGATCCAACTATGATGCATAAAAATTTACAAAGACTTAATCGTTAATGAGTAGAAACTAGCCAAATATTTACTACTATATCCCATTCTGTAACAGAGAATGTTATGCTAAACCAAACAGGTAGGATTTAGTGGTCACATTATTCAAAATGACCTCCATTCAATAAACTTACCTCATTTTGATTATTACCATTAAAATCTATTAAAGCTAAAGAACAAACATTATCACCAGTAACCTGAAATATCATAATAATGTTTTATATGTATAATAATGTTCTATATCTATAATTACTTCTGAAAGGCATGCAGTACATTTGCCATAGAATTTTGAGTTCTGAATGTTGTAAAATGGAGATTTTTTGGCAGTACTTTATTTGAATGATCTGACTGACCTTCTTTGCTTTTGTTTATTGAAGCCATACCTTGTAATTATAAGTCAATATGGCATCCGGGAAAAATAAAATCAACAAATGTGTAATAAAGTGAATAAAATAGTAATACTTACAGTCCAGAATGCATCATTTCCATCTTGGTCAAAGCCTTGTATAGAACAGTTACCTCCTACAATAGCTAATGGTGTTTCTATAGAACCTAATCGACCAATAACAACAGCATTAGATCCATCTGTAGTCTACAAATATACAATGTTCTCATCATTAAAATTATATATAAATGTACAGTAACTGGATTCTCCTGTCGGAAAGCAATTGCCTAGATCTTAGGCATAGATTACATACAGACATTTTATTTCAATAATCCATTACAGTGCAGAGGTTTTTGGCAGTGGCAGGAAGCAAGAGAAAGCCTACAACGTTACAGAGGTGAGCTTGGAGAGAAATGGGGTTAACGTCCATTCGACACAAACTAGGTCATTTCGGGACTAACATATGGTTCAATTTTATTTCCATAATCAATTTGCACGTAGGGGTCTTTAGCAATGGGAGGAAACAGTAGGACCCGGAGTAAACCCACAAGGTTGGACAGACGACCCTACTCCTTGTCACGTACAACCGGGGAATCGAAACCATGCCAGTTGACTCAATGACAGACTTTATGATACAGCGCGCACGTGCTAACCATTCAGCCATCCAACCTCCCAGGTGAGCTTGGGATCGAACTCATACAACATAACAGATTACTACGATTGTGTGCTCCTACCTTCCATAAAATCAGAGAAAAAGCATCACTACTCTATCAAGCCATGCTGTGAGAGAGTCTGGCAGCTAATGAGCTATAATGCCAAAGAAACAGAGCAAGTTGTGAATTAATGAGTGTGCAAAGACTATGGCTGCTATTTGGTCAAAGTTGGTAGGAAGAAGCCAAATCTCTTACACTTAAATTATACATCGTTCAATTTTTTATGACATACTAATATACTACAATTAACACTTACATCTTTATAGAAGAGATCAGAATTATTATCAACATCATAAGCTAGAATATTAGTCTGTGTTCCCACTACAAGGACATCTTTCTGACTCTCAGATACTAAATTCCCTGCACTGACTGCTGCCACCTGCTGGTTAATATTTAACAAGCTCACATCCCCTTCTGCACCAGTCATACGACCGGCACCCTTCTGACCTCTTTTATGAGGGTTATGGATAAAAACCTGAAAAATTAAAAGTGGGTATGGTAGATGGACGATTTTTTGGGCCAATAGTTCAAGAATAATCATGATACAAGTGTTTATATCTCATAGCTTGGAGAAAAATGTCTTCAGTAAACTGGTAGGTTAAAGTAACGTAGATGTAAGTGTAATAGCTTGTATGTATTTATAAATATGTGTGAGGGAATAAAGCTGGTTAATATTGTGTATACCATAAGCCGAACAGTGTGCTTATGTCGAATGACTGGATAGAGTGTATGCAATCCACATTGAAGTTAGCAGGTTCAAATCACAGCTGCTGTTGGCCCCCAATTTGGGACCTATTTCAGGTGTGGATGTGTTTGTTTTGTCTTTATTTTACTTAGTACATTATATTTCATAGCTGGTTTAAATCTAGGTTAATATTGTGTGTATCCCACTGGCAATCAACCAGTTAGGACACCCTTATACAGCTGATAGTGTGAAAGTCTTCCACACTGAGGGTGGCAGATTTGAATCCCAGTTGGATCTTTATGATATGCATTTGAAAAAAGTTTATAAATAATTTCAAAATTTTAAGACCTATGAAATTCATAGTTTTAAAATCTATTGAAACTTATGCTAATCAATTTCCAGAAATAATGTTTCTAGAAATTATAAAACCAAATTCATTGCTCAGTATTTAGTATTTGAATCGATCATCAACTTGTTCGTATTTAATTTTAAACTAACTTCAGACCCTTTAAGTTGTATCATATTACCTTGCCAGCAGAAGTAGCACATGCTAAGGATGTATGAAGACCATCAAACTTTCCTATTGTTACCATCTGTGGATTAACTTTGTGGTTCAATTTCAAGGTGAAGATTGGTACCAACATTTTTATTTTTGTGAGACTGACTGGTAAACAAAATCAAATTATAAAAAGTTATCTGAAATCAAAAGAAAAAAAACAACATTATTTTCATACATGAACTTCATGGCATTCATTAAATGTGGAATGTGAGTCCTGGTAGATGACGTCAAGTATTCCAGAGAGGGTATTATGCAACCCTGCTACATGTAGAGGGTTAATTACTATTAGCCTACTTCAAAACTGTATCTTATTTAATTTCAGTGGTCATGTAGCTTTATAATATAATATAATATAGATCGAAGTTCTAAAGCAGCGCGGTGCTTGAGCAAAGCTCTTTTCCGGTAACACAGGAGCATAAAGCTGTCACCCACAGAATGTTGTCAACATAGAGTTATAGAGTTATCTCCTCTCCACCAATCTGGTCTAAGCAAAATTACGCGTCTAATCAATGACTGGCAATGCGCATGTCAACTTACCAAATCTCGCCCAAGTGAGATCTCATAGAAATATTTTTTTATGACGTGTCTAATCAATGCCATCACATATTTTTGATGTCAATGGAAATAATTCTCACACTATCTTTTTCTTTTTTTTTAAAACAAAATTAATCATACAATTTAGATCTAAATTAAAATCAATTCAGAAAAACGAAATTATTAAATATTATTTGTATCACTTTAGAAAATTATGAACTTTATATATGAAGGTTTTAGTTTTATTATATTTGATAACAATCACATCAGCTTCGCTCTACTCAGGCAATGCCTGTTACATATTATTTTGGGTTGCCAGCTACAGGCCTATATATCATGAAAGGGTGGAAATATTTACAATAATTTTGTGTTTACAAGTATTATAAAGATGTGATCGCTGATATACGTAGTTTTCTTCTAATTCCAATTTCAGTCCCGTTCATCTCCAACCAAAACATTTCAACCGGATATTCAACTAGGGTTGTCACGCAGCTTTATATCAGTTATCCAGACATAACTAAAATCATTTATATTTTTCATACTATAATAGTAACCTCTTTATAATATATTTTGGGATGACTAAAATGAATTAAGAATCTAAGCCAAATATATGTTATATGGCTCGTTAATAAAATATCAATAAAAATGTGATATCTAAATCTGGATAATTACGTCTACAAGTGCGGAATAGCAACATGGTGGACTTCTTACGTTGAAATAGTTTGATTACTATGAAGAATGGTTTAAGAACAGCACAACTAATTTGTTTATGTCCATTTAAAGTGATTAGAAAATTTAGACCAATGTGGCTGAAAAGTGGAATTCAAAACTCCTTCAATGCTCTCAATTCATTGAGTAGGTAGGTATTGGACGAGTCCACAGCCAGCAGTTAACAAAAATAAACACAACATGAAAACAAATTATTTGCTATTCAGCCTATTGAATAATCAGTCAATCAAAGAAAAAAATAATACAGATATTGATACATGTATGCTATAGTTTTCGAAAAAATTTTTACTTAATAGGGGACAAATGAAAACTATGCCAAATTTATGGGTATTTTAATATTTCGGAATATTTGTCCTCAAAAAAAAAATGTGAAGAGATAATTTGGCAACATGGTGACATAAATGTGCCTTGCCCAGTTGCCCTTACCTAGTTGCCCTTACGTAAAATGTTTCCAGCCATATATTATCATTAGATAAACAATCATGTTGCATTTAATAAGTTATAATCTTTAAAGTGTATTAAAAATAGACTGCTTTTAATTATATTTATGACAACCTGTGTAGCCTACACTTGAGAAATTGTCATTTGATTTGAGGGTGAACATTCACATAAGTATATTCAACTTTTATTAGAGCCCATTTTCAGATGTGTGGGGCACCATACACGTACATTTTATCAAGTATTTGTTTTTATTTCGAAATTAAAATTTTCGCCAAGTTTTACATGTACGAGCAGGGAATACGCAAATCTACCCATATCCACCCAAATCTACACAAATCCCATCACATTAATTCATATCAATATTTGATAATATACCGTTTTTTTATGCCATCCAAAATGTGATTTCCAAGCAAGTTTAGAAGTTGTAACCAAGGGATTAACTTACACAAAATCGCTTGCTTGGAAATCGCATTTTGAGTGGCTTTTTAACATAAAAAGTTACGGTTTAAATTAAAAATGACAGTTTGGTATGAAGACTGTTATATTATCAAATATCGATATATATTATTGTGGTACATGTATATATGAGTTGAAATGATGGTGGATTTGGGTGGCTTTGGGTGAATTGTGCTACCGTACATGTACATGTTCTCATGATGAGATTTAGAATTTAATTTTCCAAATATTGTAATGAGCCAATATTGGTTTGGGAGCTGATAATCCTAAAGACATAGGTTGATAATTGTTTAAAATACTGTCTAAATATAATTGTCCCAGATTTAATTTTTTCATAAAAAACTGATAGCTTTATACTCTGTTGGTATAAACATTGTCAATCTTGGAAATCAAATAATTGATCTGTTCTGATGTCTATAATTTATTGACAACATTTTCATGAATCAATATTTTGAAGTAGAATCCTCGAAAGACTTTGATTATGTGCTTGTTCTTCATATTGTACATTTGTTATCATGGTAATGTTAATCGTATTGTGAAGTTTGAATTACAGTCATAAGACTTCTAATATCCAGTGTCTTTCTGAACATATGGTGATGAAATGAATGTAAATGCTTTCAAAGTTGGCTCCACTGGTCAGAAAGTCTTGAAAAGCACCTGTTAATCTGTCATAAAGATGGTCAGACAAAAATTCTGTTTTTGTAAGGCACATTATCTTTGGTACCTTTATCTGGCACTGACTTTTCTTGTTCAGGTGTTGTAAAGATACAAACCATGGTGCAATTATATCTTTGATAATGATTTAAGATGTCTTAATTCAAAATTTGTGAACTTCTTTAAACGTTCATTGGCAGAACTGTTCAAAGTTTAGATTGTTCAATATATCCATATTTCTCTCATTTGTCAAGCAAATATGCAGCACATCCACCATAAGACATATTTTGGCAGATAATTAAGGCTCTGCATCTTTTTCTTTTGAACTTGAATAACAAATCTACCTAACCAAAATGTTGAATCTTCTGACATATCTTCAGTGTACTCTCAAGACTTAAAGTTTAACTCTTGATATCTTGACTGCATTTTGAAGAATAATCACATTTAGAATCATCATCAAGGAGGAACGTGTTCGTACTTATCTGCAAGCACAGTCGCACATTAACACTACAACTAGAGGACTAATCCATTTTTAAGACAGTTGTGTTTTGCTTTTAATCTCCCTGCGTTTGTGTGTCTGATATAGACCTCTTCTGTCTCAGTCGTTACCAGAATAAAGTTTTGACTCTGCTTCAACTTAATTGTGTATAACAAACTTGTACAGGTACTACAGTAGTTCATTAATACCTGCCATTTTATCAGGAATGGCTAAAATTATTTCCAGGCCAGCTGGTCAGGGGTAAGATCAGAACATGTATACTGGGTATGTACATGTACCATAAAAAGATTGAAATGTATTAAAACAAAGGTCCTATCATTTTGTTTTTATTTAAACTATTGACTTAGAGGCAAGGATTAATATCATAGTGTTTTATGATGATGATATAGACTATTGTATAATCAATAGCTGGCAACAGATGGTTTTAAAATGGTGGTAAAACATCAACTACATCTCTTGTCCATTTGTTTACACTTTCTTATTAACGTACATCTATTAACATATATAGTAGGCCTGGTTCAGTAGCACAATTATAGAGATGTTGATTAATGATTTGTTTTAAACAAGTTCACGCTCAACTGTGAATTATCACATTGGATTATTGTGAACATATTGTTTTTGATTTTTACATCTAGATGTGTGATCCCATGGAACAAACAGATATCTTTATGTGATTAGATAATATTTTATTATTTAATAATCAGAGTATCATTTCTACCGATACCTTAATATAATACATGTAGTTAGAAAAGTGCTCTGACTCAATGTTAAATTACATGTATTGGTAGACTAAATGCTCTGACTCAATGTTAAATTACATGTATTGGTAGACTAAATGCTCTGACTCAATGTTAAATTACATGTATCGGTAGACTAAATGCTCTGACTCAATGTTAAATTACATGTATCGGTAGACTAAATGCTCTGACTCAATGTTAAATTACATGTATTGGTAGACTAAATTCTTTTTAATCCTTCTACACATGTACCGATACTATAAATTTTCTGTTAGAGAGGTTTTTCTTTTTTACAGATTTATGAATTTTTGTCAAAATGTTTGATGACGATAATGATTTTCACTTTTCAGCTGGCTGTATTATTTTTGACATTACTATAACTCATTATATGAATGTTTTTTTCAATATTTTTCAGATCTAGGAAATTGATTGTTGGTATATTGGTTTTATTAGCTTTAGTCTATTATCTTGGACCTAGTATATTTGGATTAGGACATGGTCAGAAGAATTGTAAGTTTTACTATTTAATCATATACACTTTTAACATGTTGTCTGCTTTTAAATGATATTTTTAATCAGCCGTTTTGAAAACACTAGTAGTCATATATTGTCATCATCCCTATATCAGAGAATTGTCAGATCTTTTTGTGTTCATTATTAGTAATAGTATTTCATCAATGTCTGATAATTACTGATAAATATTATAAGCACTCTGGCTGAAGTTACTGTTGATTCTGTTTGAGATTGATAGTCATGTTTTATATTAATAAGATGAAGATTCCTATTTAATTTCACAAAATTTCTAATAACAAATCTTTAAATGACATCTAGAAGCACGGTTAACTTTTATAACATCTTGTACGTGTACATGTGTAAGTGCTCTGAATTAAAAAGTGATCATCCAGTCTAAAATATACATGTATATTCAGTTTCTGTTAAAGTGCACATAAGATGGGTCTGGAAACTTTGAGATACGTGTAGCCAATGGTTACTATATCCACTTTACGGCAAGTTCACACCAATCTGATTGAAATTAATTCAGCTATCTTCACTCAAAGTCGCAAAAATAGACCTCCCATAAAAACGACTTTGCCAATTATTGAAAACACTTTTAATCCCCTCAGACGCCAGTGACGTCACAGTGACCGAATGCATATTCAGAATGTTTATTCCTTAATTACCTATATACAGCTGGCGTGTGTATTCATTAACGCTTGACTGACTCCATAATCCCCTAATTAAATAAAACAATTGACTGCGGAATAATTTGTTTTGTAATTTATTTCAATTTAAGATCCTATTTAGAATTTGTTTTATAATGTCCCGCCCTCTCTTCTCACGACAGCGATTTTAAAACTGTGTTTTAAAGTGACTTTTTGATAAAAGCCAATCTACCATCATGTGCAGACCAAACGATTCGAAATATATTTTCGTCAGAAGAGTATTGTGGTTCTAATTTCCCCGAGTAAAAGAGTACAGAAGTAAAAGATGTGGTCATGCAAAATGAATCATTAAAGTCAAACATGACTGAAGCGTGATTTTTTAATGACGATCCGTAGCTCGATTTCCTGTAGTGATCGTACGGCGCCTTTCTTTCTGCATGTGGATTTGATATCATTACTCTGAAATCGACAGTAAAAATGAAATACGGAAAAATATCTCAATATTATACGTTAGAATTAAGAGATTGAGAACGGTCATCTAACTATCTTTGTGTATTGATAAAGTGTACTGTCGTTAATATCTATCATTAATCAATCAGACTAAAGTTGCGGACATGGGGCCATAAATTAATTTACATATCGATGTAGATAATGATTAGCATTGCACACACATGGTGTTATAAATTAATTTACAAGTAAAGATGTTGGATTAAGAATGCTGATTAGGTTATTATTAGCTCGCCAGATCAAAGACATCACTCTAGATAGAACGTGTTAAAACTCCACGAACGAACGACACAAGTTAAGGGGGAACTTTGCTGCAAACATTTCTCCACACCACAACTAATCGTTGAATCGTACATTACTCATCAGTTGTTTATAATTATTTTTTACCCAATAATCAATTAGATTTGTTCACCGATGTTTTTGTAATAAAGTAGCCTCGTATTATTTTTTGATTGGCGTTTAGACAATATTTAATGGACTTGATACGAAATCTGAATATAAATTATTCGATAGATAAACGTTTGTGATAAGATTAGGTTATTGTCTAACATTGTTTAATTTCTTTATGAAAAAAGTATTTAACAATTACATTCACTCTTTAATAGCTCACCAAACGGCATCAGGAACTTCAGTCACGATGATCACGTGTATTTGATATTCATGTCCATGAATCCCATGCAATTGTCATTATATAGCCAATAATGAATATAATGACAAATTACTGGCACTATTTGTATTTCTGTGCTTATATAGAGATAGTTTGGGAAATCAACTATTATCCAAATTACCAGTAAATGGACTAATTGCTTGGGTCGTCTTCATCTGTCATGTGACCTTTTTAAACCAAGGACGCTTAAATTGGTCTACGGCATGATAAAGCATTTTATATTTACTCGAAAATACTCCAATCACAAAATGTCTAATCTATAACAGTACAAGACGATAATTTGGTGATTATGATTAGGCCAGTCACTTGTTAATTGGACCGTGATGTGTATATCAGAGATATACTGTACAGGCAGTGATATATTGTGTATAGATAATGTATATACTAATAATACTATGTGTAGTGCCTGTGACGTCACCAGCCAATCAACCGGATTACGGTCGACATTGAAAAATTGAAAAGTGTTTTTGCGTGTCGGTTACTCAAATGTTAATAGCCAAATTAATTTTAATCAGATTGGCGTGAGCTTGCCGTAAAGTGGATATAGTAACTATTGGCTACACATGGTCTTTAATGCTTACAGAGTTGTATTACTTGCTCACTTTGTAGAATCTTGAGAGGATACTAGATCTGTATGCAAAATTTAGATTTGTATAATCTGATCTGTTTCAAAATTAATATGCATTACTCTGTCTGATTAATAGGCAAATGAGTTATCATATTTCAACAGTTTACATGATTTTCCAATAATTTCTTCATGCCTGGTAGTGACAGTTGAAATTGATATATTTTGTTTTGATCAGAGATAAGTGTGGAAAATAACGACAGTAGCCAAATAATTAGTTATTTCTTCCTTGCGGTCATGCTCATATTGTAAGACTTTGTGATGTGTATCAGTAGGAAAGTTATTGCCCTGTATTTACATGTAATGTACTTAAAAGATTACATTGTGGCAATATGTTATGTAGACTGCCTAGACAACTTTAGCTGAGTGTGTCTATGCTCCATTGCCTGACAACAAGCCATCTATTTATAGTTTTTAAATAATAGAAAAATTCTTATTGGACTTCTATATGTACCTTTTATAATTATGTTATCTAATATACCTCAGGCTGTTATTATACATGTAAATCCTTCTCCCTTTTTATTGTTTTTATGATATCTTGCTTCAGGCTGTATATGTATACACATAATAAGCTTTCAAAAGTATTTGAATTTTGTTTTTCTACCTTATCATGTAAGAGATAGACACAATGCCTGGGGTCCGTAGGGGGTCCTTAATTTCCAAGTAATTAAGACACAGGATACTGTTTTCAACCCAACTTTAAAGTTAATTTTCTGATCATACATGTAAATGAATGTGTGTGGTATGGGGAAGTGGAGTAAATGAAATTTTACAAGTAATACTAATAGAGAACTTTTTAAATCAGAGGGGTGTTGGGTGGCTGAATGGTTTAACACATGCACTTTCGATCATAAGGTGTGCCATTAATTCAAGTGGCATAGTTTAGGTTCCCCGCTTGTATGTGACAAGGAGTTGGGTCGCCTGTCCAACCTCATTGGTTTTCTCTCTGGGTCCTCAGGTTTCCTCCTACAGATAAAGACTCCCACATGAAATAAAATTGAACCATATGTTAGCCCCTAAATGACCGGGTTTGTGTCAAGTGGACGTTACCCTCCCCTATAACCCTAACCCAGTAATAGTTAACAGTTGACATTAACATTACATGTACATGTTATATATTATAACAGATGCAGTATCAGGATGTATTGATGAGAAAGTTCAAGCATTTTATACAGCATCTTTAAACTATGATGCTATTATAAATCATAATCCTCCTTTACCTGATGAAACTGTTTATCCTGCATATACCGGTAAGTAAACCATATAATGTATATATTTCACAATGTTTCAGGTTGTTAAATCAAATATACATGTAGACTTAAATCAATCAATTTAAGCAATACACACTGATTAGGCTTAATAGCCATTTTGAATTATTCCTGTTTGTCCAGCAACATAGAGAAGGCAATATGCTTTTATAAGTGAAAGGTGTCATTTGTCCCATTTGTCATCTGATTCTTACTATCAAGGCTCTGTCTATCAATGTGTCTGCATGTTTGCAAGATTTTACTTTCTTTGATATGCCCAACATTACATAACCACTCAAATACTGTGTCCCTCTAACTATATGCTGTGAGACAATAATTTTAGTAAGTGGCTATTGTTACGACGAGTCTGAGCCAAGTTTAGAACGAATTCCAAAATGGCTACCAATCTCCCCAACACCAGCTTTGAAAAAGGAGCAGTATTTTCAACCTTTTTTAGAACTGAAGTCAGCAATTGAGAGATGTGAAGGGTTAGGGTTTAGGGTTAGGACTATTTTTAAGACTATTCAGTTTTTAACTTATCCGATGGAGGGCTGTGAAAGCATCTTCGTAACAATAGCCTGAGGACTATGTTTACTACTCGTCGTAACAATAGCCACTGCCATAATTTTATGCCTTATGAAATTAATTTGACCTGCTTTCGGTCAGCATGTGTTTTGAAATTAATGCCATTCACCACACTCTATTCTTGTCCAAGATAATTATTGACTTCTTGGAATTTTAACATTCATGTACATGTAAGTACTGGTTGGACACCATATTTACCAACTAATGACATCATATTTTTATCAATGATTTTGATTAATCTCTCATCTATTTAATCACTATTGATTACTGCCTTTTTTGAGAGTTGTTATGTTTGACAATGCTACCGATTTAATGGATAACTACATTGTACTCCATACTTTATCAATGTTAGAGAACAAAACGGCATATTGAAATGTGACTGGTGATAGGTTGCACATAACTCAAGCTCACATTAATTACTTGTTTTATGGTAGTACTAGTAAATGATTTATTTTTCATTCGTGAATTGTTTATTTTTTAGATATACAAGCTGATCTCCAGTTAAAGATTATATTAAATTTGTGTGTTTTGTGATATTGTAGGTAATGGTTATATAGCAGCAGCATTTGGAACAGAAAATGGTTTGTTTGTGCGACTTAACAGAGCATTATCATTACCAGTTCAATTCTATCCTGTTGTTGGTATAAATGTGGAACATAAAGATGTTAAAGGTATTACAAATTAATCACCTATTATTCTGAATAATCAATTATTATTCTGAATAATCAATTATTATTCTGAATAATCAATTATTATTCTGAATAATCAATTATTATTCTGAATAATCAATTATTATTCTGAATAATCAATTATTATTCTGAATAATCAATTATTATTCTGAATAATCAATTATTATTCTGAATAATCAATTATTATTCTGAATAATCAATTATTATTCTGAATAATCAATTATTATTCTGAATAATCAATTATTATTCTGAATAATCAATTATTATTCTGAATAATCAATTATTATTCTGAATAATCAATTATTATTCTGAATAATCAATTATTATTCTGAATAATCAATTATTGTTCTGATAATCAATTATTATTCTGAATAATCAATTCTGAATAATCAATTAGTATTCTGAATAATCAATTAGTATTCTGAATAATCATTTATTATTCTAAATAATCAATTATAATTCTGAACAATCAATTATAATTTTGAATAATCACCTAATATTCTAAATAATCACCAATTATTATTCTGAATAATCAACTATTATGTAGAATAACCACCTATTATTCTGAATAACCACCTATTATTTAGAATAACCACCTATTATTTAGAATAACCACCTATTATTTAGAATAACCACCTATTATTTAGAATAACCACCTATTATTCTGAATAATCACTTATTTTTCTGAATAATCACTTATTTTTCTGAATAATCACTTATTATTCAGAATAATAACCTATTGTTCAGAATAAAAACCTATTGTTCAGAACAGTAACCTATTGTTCAGAACAATAACCCATTATTCAGAATGATAACCTATTATTCAGAATGATAACCTGTTATTCAAAATGAATTACCCCATGCTTGGTTACTACATAGAACAATTACTGCATGGTCGGATATTATATATGTAGAATATAGATAGACCCTATACATCTCATATAGAGTTATTATACCGAGGGATTAAACCTCTTGTCGACAAGGTTTATGTTAATTTTTTAAATGACATCTAGAACAGGGTTAACTATTCAAAACAAAACACAACAAAATGTGATGTGTTACGAAACGTCGTTATTAAATAATAGAGAAGTAGTTATATCCATATATACCTTGTGTTGTGTTTTGTTATGAAAGGTTTATGCTGTGCTTTATTAGATGTAAGAGACTCTTGTTGTATACACATTTTTTAAAAAAATTTCTTAAATCATTTCAGATGCCTTTGTATTGGATTTAAAATCTGGTATTGCTCATCGAATGCAGGCACTAAAACAGGTGAGATTTAAATTACTGTAAGATAGGATTTAAATCTTCATAAAATAATTCTTAAGTTATTTTCAGCCCTACACACCATGCAATCATCATATTATATCCTCGCCTCTCTCAACTGGTTTGTGAGATTTGGAGGTGTTAGATGGTTGTACACTGTGTACGCCTTACCATACCCCACAACCAATACCAAACACTACTTTCAGAATAAATTTCAACCTATTAAAATATTAATAAAAAATGTCTCTTTATATCTTCCATTATGTGTTTTCCATATGTTCTATATTTATGTAATTATATATGTATGTATGTATATATACTACATATTTATACTGTGTACATGTAATTATATCAGAGAGAGGGTTTACACATAGGCATAGCCTGTTCCCCAATCCAAATTCAGATATTTACTGAATAAAAATATTTATAAAAAATAGGTAAGAAATTAATGGCTAATGAAATTAATCTGAAGGAGGTCAACATAAATTCATATTTATTTGTAAAACAGTTCAACATTATCATCACTTTTTTTGTGTGTATTTTTCAGTCATGGCATTGTGTACAAATGGAATCAGAGTTATATGCCCATAGATCCAGACCATCAGTCTTAATACAAGATATCCACATTTCAAATCCTACTGTATGTTATTATTTCTTTATGTTTGCCACTGTATCACAAGTTCATTTGTAGATATTATTTTTTTTTTTACAATGATCACCAGAAATATGATTTAAATTGACAACCTGACAACTGAAACTAAATGACTTATTACATCACAATTCAAAGCTCTACATTTATCTCATAATATATGCAGAATAGCAATTGACTTTCATGATTACTAAATGTCATTCTAGAATAATAATTTACCTCAATTACAGTATAGTATATGTAAATAAAAGTTCATATAAGTCATTGTAAAGTCAATTGATGATCGTTCAGTCCAATTATGATTATCAAGAACAAATGTCTTAAGTTGCATAGGAGCTACAGTGGCTTTGTGAATAAAGTGCTCGCACGCCAACCACAAAGTTCCGGAGAAGCCTGGCAAGGAACTGTGTCTGGTCTTTTGCATGGTACAAATTCTGAGGTCCCATTTTCATGGCAAATCTTTTCTCACAACACAATGCATGGCATATGCCCATTTTCATTAACCCAGTTGGTGCAGAAACTATACGTTAAACCACATTTCATTTCTTTTCTAAGTTGCATACTTGACAATTAGGACTACATATAGTTAGCTCCTGGCTTCAACTGGAAACCTTTAATAAGATTACCGGTAACTCTCATTCTTATGGGAAATACGGTCTGCAGTAAGCTATAACAATAAGGTTGTTTTTAATTTTTAAGACAAATGATCCGTGTATCGCTCTGAAAATATTTAGTTTATATGGCCTAAAACTGCTGTGGGTTACTTGAGTGGATGTCATAATACAGGATGCGATTCAAATCCAGATGTCTAGAGAATTACAGTAGTAAAGTGGTGGTTTTTTTTGTTGTAGGTAGATTCAGTGATAATAGAGTTTGATCAAGTTGGAGCATCAGGATGGACTGGTGCTGAAACTAAAACTTACAGGTAGATCAAATATCACTTGTTATTGTAGAAAACACATAGACTTAACACTGATCATTGTGAAATCTTATGGATAAGGTGTGGAGAATACATAATTAAGGGTTTACCAGAAAACTATTAAAATACAGGTTATAGAAGCTATGCATAGTCATGAGCTAGCTCTTACAGGGTGTGATTTGATGATGATCAAAGTATTGGAAGTGTCGAATGATTTAAAAATGTAATTTCTAATCTTGAATTTTCCATGTTTTTGATGTTGAATCATAAATCAATGGTATTGATGCATAATTGTTAAGTACACACAAAATGTTCTTAGGAGGTTTTGTTTCATGATGATCAGACAATAACAAGTACTATAATTAATCCATTCACATTGGCAAAAAATGAAAAAAATCATAATTTACTTTTCAAATTTATAGTCGACAGTATACTGGATTATTAATCTGCATAAAAAGTTCTTCCAAATCCCCAAAATTGAAGAAAACTGTCTAAATAGAAGATATAAAATCAGTACAACAAAATTGAGTCATACAATAGTAGCTTCAAAACTTACGAATGGGTTACCCCAATCCAAATAGTCATATCTCAGTCAATATTAATGTTAAAGTCATAGAACTTTGCAGTTTTATATAAGTCTGTATGTACTGTAACATATATTTTTTGTCCAACACCTTTCAAAGAAAGCAGGGGACTATTAAAACGGGTCTGTCCGTCACATTTTTTGGGACACAATAACTCACCTTCTAATTGAGGTAGAATGTTCAAACTTGGTGTAGGACTGGGTGTTTATTAGGTGAATGCCTTGATGGAGTTCGAAGATGAGTCTTTTCTCCCTAGGCTAAGCAGAGATAAGCAATTTGATTGGTTGATGCTTTAGGACACGATGACTTTGGTTCTAATTAAGTGAAAGCGATGAAACTCGTTGTATAGTTTCATTATATCAATACCATGACTAAGTTTGATAATGAGCATTTTCTGCTCAGGATAAGCAGAGCAATAAGCAATTTGATTGGTCGAGACTTCAGAGCAATTTGTTTCACAGAGGATTACGAAAGTCTTTTAATAACACTCTAAAAGATGACTGCTTTCAACACGTGACGTCACATCACGTGGTGTCAATAATTGGCTCAGTAGCGCATGCATTGTTTACATAAGACGTTGCTGGTCCGGGCAGTGTCATCTATTTATTTTGGGATTGCAGCCTCACTGTTGGCTTGTCACGAGACAAGCACTGGTCCACTTGAAATGGAATGACCTTTATATGAATCAATTTAAATTAAAATAGTACCGGTACATATTATAGACATGATATTTATTACAGTGTAAAAGATTACCAACAGCAGACACTTACATACAGAGTAACAACTGGTGTTATAAAGATACCTAATACAGATGCAGTTGTTGGAGCAGTTATTGCTACTATAGCTTCACCAACATCAGTTGTTGTGAAAGCTAACAGGTCAGTAGAATATCAGACTAATGATAATTCAAACTAAAAACAGTAGAGAGCATGAACTAACATTACTCATTCTTGCTGTCTAAAAATGTTTATTTAATTATTTCTAAAAATCAAGTGTAATCAATAACCTATCACAATTGTAATCAATAACCTATGTCAATTACAATTGTGATAGGTTATTGATTACACTTGTAATTGAGATAGGTTATTGATTATTGATATTGTAATCAATAGCCTGTATTGCACCTGTAATAATATCAGTAATATGAAATTTGGACCTTGGATGTACCATTTTGTCATTTTCAAAGTGTTATTTAAGAAACCTGATATATTTTATTGAATAAAACAGGTTAATTGTGTGTAGAATATTCTGTGTACCCTTTAACCTTTTCCCTAGTAACTATCTAAAGGTCTTTGAAATGTTTTAAGGTCCAGATGTTGGTGGAGTTGGAGACTGAAAACCTTTATAAAGGGATCCTTGAAAACTGGGGTTTATCTTTTAATCAACGAAACCTAATTTGGTTTCTTCATTGCAATTGATTGATATAAAGTACAGTTCATTTGTATATTTGGTAATTTTTTTTATTTTCAGTAACTATAAACAACATATAGTAACCATTGTCAAGTACACAAAACCTCTCAATAAACAAATTGTCCAGTCAAGCCTACAAGATCTCGTTGAAAAAGTCAAGTCGGTTAGTTGAATTTATTTTACTATTTTCTGTATTACTCAGATGGACACTGTACCAAGAAAAGCTGACTGTTTCCCATATGTCCAAAATATTTCTACCTTTCTTGGCTCTTTCTTGTTAGGTTAGTAGATATATTTATTTTAACCCCTCTTCATTAGGATGTTAAACCCCATTTCAGTTTATTTATTTTAACTGATGAGCTATTATTAATCAAAATAATGATTGTAATAGAGTTGACTAGTTTGGAATTTCCAGTTAATTAACATATAATTTAAATATAGTAATGTAATTTTAAAGCCTTTTGTTTGGCTCTTGAGACAATCCTGTCCCTTACATTTCATTTCCCCCCATCAGGGAACACAACATACTGTTATGTTCTTACCTCCCTTGATACCTATACATATAAGGCATTTCTTTGAAAACAGTTATAAATTTGTTACATTACCATGCAGGCTTCACTATTCTCTAAAATTCTTTGTACAGTAATTTTATGATGTTATATTTACATGTTTTGCAGGATCTGACAGAAGTTATGAATATTAATGCTAGAATGTTAAAGAGAGAACATACTAAAGTTTGGGGAAAAGTAAGTACTAGAGTACCGTATATTAAATGTATTTGTGTAAGTCATTTAAATATGTTTAATCCTCATAATGTCCAAAATTTCATTCCAAAACCCCACAAATTAGGCCATACAAAAGAATATTCTGGTTCTCGGACAATACTTGCCAAAAATCTGAGTTTATTTTTGTGTTTTTATTTTTGTCGCATTGATTCTTGGTTAAGACTGAGAACATCAGCCATACTGTTGGCTTGTTTTGTAGTATTTAATTACTATAAGTATTTTTATATTCATAGTTTCAACTGATTGTGCTTTTACCTTATGATTTTTTTTATTACGTGTCTGTTCATTCTATATGTATAATTTGTAAACTGTGTGATATTTCTGTTTTCAGTTATGGGAAACAGGTTTTAGTATAAGCAAATCAAAGGCTAGTGATGCACACAATGGAGATAAGATTAATACGACAATCTATTATGTTTTATGTAATGTACCCGCACCGTTACACGATCTTACAACCAGTAAACAACAGAGAGATGAAATATTAAAAGTTCTTTATTATCCAGATAAATGTTACGGCGAACATTCTACATTGTAAGTTCTTTAAATCTAAAGTAACATACGTATACTATATGTATCAATAGTAATAGAATAGAGTCCATCTTCAGTAAAAAAAAATTTAGAATTTGAACTAGGCCATTACATCTAAAATACAACGGCTTCTTTCAGACGTCAAGACTGGTTTATATTGTCTCAACATTTCAGCTTAATTGATTAAATGGAAATGATAACCCAAATTGTTTATTGTGGTTATGTAACCCTTTTAGAAATAAAGCGTATGCCATAAATTATCCCAGACCTGGAAGGTGTGACTATTCAGTATCATTTGTAAATTTAACCAAGCCGCTATTCAATCACAAAAGTATAGCGGGAAATTGTTGTAAACACATACAGGTCTCGATTTATAGACAGGTTGATCTAGGCACAGGATGATCGATAGTCAAGAATCTTGTCTCCAACTCCACCTGTTAGCTGGTCTACGGTTTGCCATTGAGTCAAGTGGTGTGGTTTTGATCCAACGCTTATACGGGACAAAGAGTATGTTTGCCTGTTAACCTTGTGGGTTTTCTCTGGGTCCTTCTGTTTCCTCCCACAGCTAAAACCCTCTATGTGAAAGTGAATTATTGAAATAAATTTGAACAATGTGTAAGTCCTGAAATGACCTAGTTTGTGTCAAATAGACATTAAACATCATTTCTCTCTCCAACTCTACCTGACAACTGCATGCTTCATTTATACTTGTGACTAGAATAAAAGGTTCTAAAAGTTGAAATATATCTGGAATATGCCCTTAATTTGTAGAAAAGCTGATACATTGTGGATGGATGTTGTAGATGAAGATCATATTGCTAGAGTAGTTACAACATGGATGATAACATTAGAAAAACATAGTTGTTCTTTCATGGTACAAGCAGGTAAGTCTTTTATTATATCAACACTAAACCATATAAGTATATTTAATCTTGTGATTGTCCTCTCGTCTTTTTTTCTCAAAAATTATCTTGTGAGTTTCAAAGATTATCCTCTTAGTTTCAACAATTGCCCATATTGTTAAAATTGTTTGACATTCGAACTCATGACGTGAACTAGAACACTATCTCCATACAAGAGACGACCACCGTTAAGATCGGTCGCATTATTTCCGTTACGTCTTACTTGTAAATCATATTTTTTTTCATTTTGAGTGAAGCGTGTATCAGGGCCTGGGTTGTACAGCACAGTTGGGCGGTGTTATGCAAATGTGTCCTAACCCTCAAATTACCAAAAATCGTTTTAGTACATGTTTTGATTAAAGAATTTATGACAATTGATATGCAATATTGTTTTTAGGCGCTACTTAGATAAGGCTCAGTGTCTGCCCTACAGACCAAGAATCCACTAAGCAATGTGAAATCATTGTTTCAGCGTAGTAATGATGGGGTTGGGGCGTCGTGTCAGCGTGGCGTTCTAGATCGTGTCAGCAACGTGGTTGAGACGGTGGGGACGTTGCTGTGCAGTGCAAAAGGTGTGTGCAAAGTGCATAGCGGGGGCATTGTGTACACGTAGTGAGAACGAGAAAATGCCTTCACACCAAGAAGCTTTAATGAGGTGAAGTCATCGATGCCATATTGGTTAACCCAAAACAGCGTCTCTCTAATTATTTTGACAATATGCCGGGCTGTTCCGGGTAGACGGACAATGTGAAAAATAGAATAAGAAATATAATATTTCTTGTGAAAAAAAATCCTTTTGCCTTCTAGTCACCAAAAAAAAGTGCCCGAAAATTCCATTACCTTTTGATCAAACTGCATTGTGCGACAGTTTTCGGGCTTTACAATTGACGAATGGATAAAACATTTAAAATCAGTGTAATAAACACTTGTCTGGCGCCACTCTATGACTAGTCATGCTGCTTTATGGGAGCCATATCTTTCGTGTCTCATTTATTTGATTTATCAGTTTTTCGGGACGTAAATTTCTGTAAATGCAACATTGGGGCTCTTGGCTGCAGTCTGGTCAGAACCCCGCTTAATCTGGGCAAGGTGGAAATGACTAAACAATCTCCCAAAATATGAGCCTCTGTCATTTTCTCCAGAAATTTGTGCCAAAAACCTACACTTCTTGATTGGCCCAGGTCAACAAGTACAGTTACTACTCATCTGTTGTCAGAGGCGGACTGGGCCTCAGATCGCCACACTTAGAAAAACCTAAATTAACATATTTTTTTTTCAAAATAACTAAAATTCATAATGGCCTCAATCTGAGGAGAAAAACGATCTATATGAGTGAGGTGCAGGAATAGTGAATCAAACTAGTTTCGTTTTCTCATCATGTCACTTTTTGTTCACCGCGCTGTGGGGGCGGCGAAACCAGTTGGTCGGAGGGCATAGAGCTACCCAGCCCGCTTTTGACAATTTTAATCTGGGGATAAATGCAGAATTATGATCATAAATGGTGCAAACTACAAACTTTTTAAAATCGAAATCAGAGGAAATTAGATACCAGCCATACAATAGGTCGTTAACTGGTTCCCTGTCCAACTGAGGACTAAAGCCATCGAACAAGGAGGATTGATCAATGGTGCATGTACGTACATTGAGGGGGCGCTTTTTCGGAACAGAGGGCACATAGCCACACTGGTTTCCTGTCCAACTGAGGATTAAAGCCAACGAACAAGGAGGATTGATCAATGGTGCATGTACGTACATTGAGGGGGCGCTTTTTCGGAACAGAGGGCACATAGCCACACCAATCCCTATACCCTAGCTGGGAATCTCACCTGATTCGATTGTTATCAACCATTTCCAGTTTCTTTTGTTTTTTCAAACACCACCTACCCTGCCTAACCACCCAGTACGCCTCTTAACTTCTCTTACAAAATATTCTAATAACACGGTATTTTAATATAGCAATCATTCATTTCATTTTATTAGATATGAAATATATTATGTGTATTGGAAATTTCATAACAATGTGTTGCCTTTCATTGTGTAAATCAAATTTAATTCTCATAAATCTATACAATCTGCTGTATATAAGCTACTCTGTTTGAGATGATATTTTTAATTCTATAGGCTTAACTTTATAGATTTATTGTAACTTAATAATTTTTTATTTATATAATATGTGTTGCTTTTCACTGTGTAAAACAAATTCACTCTGGGATAATTAGGTATTACATGTACGTTATTCTTGTTTTAAAACAAAAGAAGTTTCATATTAACTCAACACAACCAATTATTTTTAATGTTTTGGGTTAACCAAAATGGCGACACTGACTGCAATCGCCATAATGGTAAAATGACTTCATGCCGTCTCCAGTTCATCAAAACTTCTTGCTTCACACTTAAGAGGGTTTTCTGCATTTCACCACAACCTCACCACACTCTATTTAATTTTTGTGCGTAGGATATCCAAAATTTGATGCACATTATTTTAGTACATTTTAGTCCTATATTGTATTTCATGATGTTAAAGTAATAAAATTTTTTCTGGAACTTTTTCTTTATTTGAATGGCTTCTATTTTCGGTGTTTTCTCAAAACCTCAAATTTGGGGTTAAATCACATTTGCATAACACCTTCAAGTTGACTCTTAGTTTCAAAAAATGATTTTCTTACATTATCTTCTTAATCTCAAAAATTAATTCCTTAGTTTCAAAGACTATCCTCTTAATCCTGAAAATTTGCAAAATTTGGACACTTTCATACTTGATATTAAGCTGCACTCTGCCCTTCTTAAATTTATAAGTTTTTGAATGTAAATGTCAATTTTGATGACGAACAGTCCATTTCCATTAATGGTTAACATGTGCACATTGGATCATAAGGTCTGTCATTGAGGCAAGTGGTGTGGTTTCGATTCCCCACAAGGAGTAGGGTCGCCTGTCCAACCTCGTGGGGTTTCTCCGGTTTCCTCCCACTGCTAAAGACCCCTACGTTCAAGCGAATTATTGAAATAGAATTTAACCATATGTTAGTCCCAAAAGGACCTAGTTTGTGTCATGTGGACGTTAAACCCCATTTCTCTCTATTTTATGTCAAAAGAAACATATTGACACTATTTTTGAATTACATATTTTAGCTGGAGGACTAAACTAGCAACAAGTGATTAAAACTTTTTGTCTGAAATATTGTTTTTTTAATTTATATTAATGATATGTAAATCTGATTAAATTATGCAGGTGCTGAAGGAGTACTTCAAGCAATGGTGATGAGTTTTGGTGCCTTGAAATTTAAAGATCATCATTTAGAATTTGCTGTACATCCTAAAGAATTACATCGAGATATTTCATTCCGTCGTATAAACTATGGCAATAACACCCATGTTAATATATCTGTGATAGTGGGAGAAGATAATAAAGCTAATTTATATGTAGCATTAGATAGAAATGATAAACCATATTATGGATGTGATGCTGGTTGTGTGGATGCTCCTGTTTCTCTTAGGTAAAAAACAAATTATTATTAGTTTTTACATAGTTTTAAACAGAGTTTTCTCATAATATTAATAAGTTTACATTTCAGCTTACTCACCATCAGGGATCTTAATTGGCTGATTATATTCAGCCACAGTCGCTTGATGTTTTAAAAAAAACAATTGATAAAACTAGGTTCTGGCCACTAAAACAATGAACCGGCCACTAAAACAATGAACCTACCACTATGGTGTCATAAATCTTCTTTTGGCTACATTACAAAGGGTTCATTATTACTTTTTGATCAACATGCTTGTCAGCTACAATAACAGTCCAACAGTCATACCTTAGTGAGAATCGGCCATGTGGTTTATAATCTAAGTAATTAGCACATAGGACGGTAATTTTTATAATCCCGTAAAAAAACCCAAAAAACAAGTTTGCTGATTATTTATAAAAGGTCCTGTAAGTTGCCTTTGTGAAAATACATGAATGAAGATGATTGGGAATCTTGGGAATCGTGCCGTCTCCCAGGTAGATATTAAAATAATAATTGTATCATACATTTGATGGTTTGACTGATCAGTTGTTAGTTAAATGTAAATAGTCATTGAATAATCTCCAGAGAGAACACTGTATACCCCTTTAAACAGACATTAATAATATATTTTTCCAGCAGAATCTCTGATGCAAAATCACCGATGACATTGACATACATAGGTTGGAATTAGGTCAATAAACCAGCAATGCTAGATTTAGTTTTAACTTACATTTACGGTTATGATTTAGTATTTTATACACATGCTGACAAAGGTTTATTTTTAACATATTCAATATTGTCTCTATTATTGACGGCTATGGCATAGTAGTACGGAATTTTATCTTATGAAGCAATTTCAGTTATGGTTGTCGTGTGACTTCTGTATCGATTGACTATCATCTTAGAATGAATAAAAACTTTGCAAATTATGTGACAGGCAAAAACAACAATTTGTGTTAAACATGCATATGCAAGAGCTAACTCTGCCTATTGCAGGTCTTTCTTTGGGCCTGAAATGTTATCTAAATTATTAATTGGACATTGATTAACTTATCCAGACCATAATCAACTCTCTATGCCATCGTTAGTCTGTGATATTAACTGGATTTGAATACATTTTGTGATAGATATTTTAAAGTAATCACGACTAAGACTAAACTAAAATTAATGGCTAATATCTCGATTCCTATGTGAAGCAATTTGACTGAAAATTTCAGTGTATTTTGTTTTCATTATCTATTCTTTAACTATTATATCGAGAACTGTCAGCTCTTTATCTAATCTTACCTAATGCCTCTTTAATAAGAAAAAATGTAATGGTGCTGTAAGCATTTTCTGATACTGACCGTAATAGAAATGTCATAATTTCTAGGACTGATGGACTATATCTTATAACTAAGCAAACGTAAATGACTGCCGTTCAATTTGGACTGTTCAAGTTTTTCACTATAATGAATTAGAAATTAAAATAAAATTGAATGTAGATCACTTTATATACATTCATATTATGTTGATATGTGCTTTTAGAATGACATTTAGACCCATTTTCACCCATTTTAAGGTGTCAAAGGATAGAACCTTCACCCTTTAAAGTATCTGAGTGTTATTTGAACGTTATAGGAATCCCTTGCAAACTACAACATTGAACCTATAGGAATATCAGATCAGAAATGGTTCCTTTTAGTATTTACAAAGATATGATGAACTGAAATTTCTTCTATCTATGCTGCTTCCTATGTAAACAAGCCCACCGCCATCGTTATGTTTCTTGAAATGTAATTAAAGGGGCATTAAAGATTTAGATAAAGAGCTGACAATTCTCGCTATAATAGTTAAAAAAACATAGATAATGAAAAGAGAATATGCTGAAAATTCCAGGTTAATTACTTCACCCTGAGCCTGGATATTGACGATACAGTTATAATTTAGCCTGGATTGTCATTATTACTGTTGTTGCGATAATAAACTTTATCTCGATTATACATTTTTATGGTAACCGTATCGACCACAAAAGTATTTAAGTCTACTTATATTGCAGCCATCTGATGGCATCGAGAGTTAATTATGCTCAAGTTAATTAATGTCCAATTAATAATTTATATAACATTTCAGGCATAAAGAAAGACCTGCATTAGGCAGGTTTAGCTCTTGTATAATGCCTGTTTAATAATCATGTTTTAATCTGATTGAATGCTAGTAGCCAGGAGTTTATTTAGCGTTGTATTTTGATTTGACTTTCTTAAAAATGTTAAATAATCATTCTTGAGTACCGGTATATATTTGCGTGGGTTAAGCTGTGAGAAATGTGATACTTTCCAAAAAATGCAAATCTACCACACAACTGCGCGCTGTAATATATACCCTTAATAAAATTTTATTACATTAGTACAATATTCAAATGTAGGTTACATGAAATATTGTTTACTGAGGTAAGTGAATCATTCAGTATCTATTTACATAAAGATGATATAGATAGGTTGACAAAGGTAAAACTTATAGTTCAGGTGATTTGTTGACATAGACATTATAATCTTTTAAGTTACCATACTCGTACACATATTTGTAATGTTATCTAAGAAATAATGTATACAAGATTATTTCTTACAAATGAAATGGGGTTCAATATCCTACTTTTCTGCACTGACTGGCCTAATGAATTTATATATAATTTTATCTAGGACATAATGTATGTTAGTTTATCATTTTTCAAATGATTGGATCTTTTTTTTGTTTCTATTCAGTAAAAATTGGCAGAGATTTCCAGTGAAATTAACAGATCCATTAACATCTATATTATATATCACAGCTGATAAACAACATATGACAGATTTAAAACATATAATACATGTCACAACTATAGAAGAAGGTAAAATATACTTTTTATTCTTCATTAGCTCGGGGGTTGGGTGGTAGAATGAACTAACATTTTCACTTCAGATCATAAGGTCTGCTATTCAATCAACTGGCAAGGCTTCTATTCCTAGCTTGCATGTGACACGTGACAAGGAATAGGGATCGCCTGTTTCCTCCCACTGCTAAAGACCCCTGCACGTATTGTTGAAATAAGATTGAAGCATATGTTAGTCCCGAAATGACCTAGTTTGTATCACTCTGATGTTCACAGTTTTAGGGTAAACTGTGTGACTCCCTAACTTCATTATACTACCGTCATAGAAGATGCTTTTCTTAAAGATATCTTTAGATGTTAAGGGAGTGATCACTAAAAAAACTGATTGGAAAAAACCCAAGAAATTCTAATTACATTGAAGATTAAACCAAAAATTGATTCTAGTATTTCTAGATAGATTTGGAGCAAAAGAAAGCACTTTGTATTGTATTAAGATTATTCTTGTTTTCTTATAATTATGATTCTCATTGATGAGATTATTTCTAAGTAATCGACATATCATGCATAGAAAATGTGTCATGAAGGATAGGGATGAGGATTGACAGAATAAATGGAATAAAAAAAACAATCTATTTATAAGATTACATTTTGAATTATTGCAAAAAAAAAAAAGGTTTTAGATAGATTTGGGGGCGAAAGAAAGCTCCTGTTTATATAATACAGTTAAATCTTCTTTTAAGATTATGTCTGATTCGCTTGTTGTTATGATTCAAACCAGGAAAACAACTGTCAACTGATTCTTTCTCAACCTATTACGCAGATGGGTCATGTAGAATGTGGTAAAACTACAATAGAATATGTACAACTTTATCAATTTGGTTTTTTTTTCAGCTCCTGCTCATGAACATCATGTCATTGCCTTACACAAACATGGACATCATTTTGGAGGATTACCAACCTTATTCTGGGTGTCCATAGCATTTCTTATTTTAATATTTCACTTATTTTTATTTAAATTAATATATAATGAATATTGTCAAGGACAGGAAAGGTATGCAAGATCTAAATATAGTTTATAGTACCAGTATTTATCATTTTATTTTACTTATATATTATATGTACATACAAAAGTAGTTTATTGAGAATATTTCCTTGGAAAACTACATTACACCGTATAATCCGTGAGTGGCATTTAGCAATTGTGCACAATTTTGACAAACAGGAAGTGTTATGCGGAAGGCTACAAAAAATAATCTTAGATTGCCCATATCTCAGTTATGGTTTTTCGAAATTCGGAAATTCGCTCGATTAGTTTTAGCGTCAAAGATTTGCAAAAGTTTTCTTCAACATTTTTTCGACATTCAAGATGGCGTATCTCCATCACTATTTAAGGTTTCATGTTGAAACTTGGTAGGAATAAGGAACACGTCGATGCCTTCAAAATGGGATTCTAAAAAAATTGTGACGGCTTCCGGAAACTTCTGGAAATTTTCAGAGCCTTCTGATTTTTCCCAAACGTGAATAATTCTTTCCATTTTATAAATAGACCTAAAATGACATATGGTGGTGTTAGCCCCAGATATATTTGAGAGACCTTGTTCAAAAACATTTTTAAACATTTGGCCGCCATATTGGATTTACAAAAATCCTTTAAATCGATATTCAGCCACCATTTTCATTCCAATTTTCAAAAACTTATTTTTGTTTTGAACCTAGTCCAGGTGGTAACAATTCTTAGGGAGCTGATTTTTGAATTTCTATGTTGTTTACTTTTGATTTCACTTTTAGTTTTTCAACTTTTTACCTACTATCTGGTGACCTAGTCTTTCAATGACCCTTGACATTTGTATATATGATGACTCTGATGTCTACTATCAATAAACATCAAAAAGTTGGGCCTTGAAGTATAACTTCCGGTTTTAGAAGGGTTCAAAACGACAGGTTTTTCCACTTTAATAGGTATTGGATGATACTATACTCAGTAATTCTTGGTGTGACATGACGTACCAAAACACGTCAATATTCCTACGGAATTCTAGTTTTTATTTATTGCTTTGTCTAAATTAAAGATTAATTTAGTTTAAAATATAGTAACAGCTGGGTTGAAAATATGTTGGAATTTAAATAATCCTGGTTTTACAGCTTTTGAAAAATAGGAAATTTTATAATTTAGATAAAAGAACAACCAAACTGATCAATAAAATTATAATTAAATTATTGTGGTCTGTCACAGAGGTATTACGATTACAATACCTCTGTGAAACAGACTGAGTATAATGAGGCAGGTTTTTGATGATATTAACGACGGGGGGGGGGGGGGGGGTGTGAATGGCTGAATGGTAAGCATGTGCGCACTGTATCATAATGTCTGTCATTGAGTCAACTGACGTGGTTTCGAATCCCTGGTTGTATGTGACAAGGAGTAGGGTTTTCTCTGGGTCCTCCGGTTTCCTCCCACTGCTAAAGACCTCAAAGTGCAAGCGAATTATTGAAATAAAATTGAACCGTGTGTTAGTCCCTAAATTACCTAGTTTGTGTCAAGTGGACGTTAAACCCCATTTCTCTCTCTCTCTGATGATATTAATGAATATTCCAAATGGAGGGTTCTTGTTTCATTCATATTTACTGGTAGTAAAGTTCACTGACTGTTGAACTGTACGGTAAATTGATAGTTTTTAGGCACTAATAAATGTTCAAATTTGTCAAATGCTAAAAATTGTCATTTTTTTTTGCAAAAAGTGTCTTGCTAATCCTAAGTAAACCAAATTTGTCAACAAATGACCATCTGGCAAAATTACAGTGTGAAATCTTTGTCTTAATGTCTGAAAAGAGCCACATTATTGTTACATAGGTATAATACAAATGTTTATTTATATGACATATATCCCTTTCTTTTATTTAAACTGAAACTATCTATAGTATAACAATGTTTTGTGCAATCTATCTTGTATTTCAACAACATTCCACTCTTATAGCTTCACTTAGACAATGGAAAATATGTTATTCTGTTTTAAGATAGGTGTTGATAATAAAATATTTATAATTTTGTGACAAGCAGATAATGTGCATTCTAGAAATGAAAGAATCTGTATTATCAGTTAAAGTTTTCTCAGAAAACTATACAACAATAAGCTAATCATTTGATAATTCAAAAGTAAATATGTTGCTTTTAGCATGTTTTATGTCAATGTATTATCATTATCCTGTGATACACAACTTTTCTTTGTCTTGTCAACTCAAGCCGATATACAGATTATTAATTAGATATTAATTAACTAATTAATAATCAAGACCATAATCAACACTCCATGCCATCAGATACTCTAGATTTTCAACAGATTTAAATATGATTTGCAGTTTATGATTTAACGTGAAAATGGATAATCAAGACTTTGTTTATTATTGTAAAAACGGTAGCAATGACAATCGAGGCTACACTGTAATTGTATCGGCAATGACTGCGCTCAAGAGTGAAGTAAGTTGACTGAAATTTTCAACATATTCCATTTTCATTATCTATTTTTTAACTATTATAGCAAGAACTGTCAGCTCTTTATATCTAATCTTACATAATGCCCCTTTAACAAATCAGGCATATAATTGGTATGGACTAGCCTAATTTGATTTGAGAGAAGTTTTGTATCTTGCATATTGATATTTTATGAACAAATAAACATTTTACTGTTATAGAGGTTTCAGTTGGGTGAGTGATCATAAAGAAACTGGTTTTAAAGGTTTCATATTTGTACTTCATACAAATGTGAAGTTGAAGAATTTGATTTTTCAAGTATTCAGTATTGTGACAATACAATACAAATGGGCTCTCAGTGGGTGTATAATGTGTTTATATTCAACCTTTTATAGTAAAATATTTACTGACTATATATATAATCTCACATGATTCAATATTGTGTTTAATATATAAAATGTTTTTGATGGTTACAGCTGTAAAATGTCCGAGGCGGGGGCAATAATAAAATTGATTTTATACTTTAACTGTTGATTGTTAAATGAAAAAATAAAAATAAATTGGTTCTATCTAATCAATAATGTCCTTTTGTATCTAAATCATACAAATACAGATATTCGATACTTCTTATAAGTTCAAAAATAGTTAATAGACATAGTTTGGACATATAGTATTAAAACATACATATTTCTATTTAAAGATTGTATATGTAGTCAAGAAGAAAATGTGTGTCTTTGTCATGTAGAATTGTTAAATAATTTACATGTAAATATTGAAATTGTATATAGTTTTAGTAAAATGTATAGATGGGTTTATAAAACACAATAATATGTATATACTTGGGTTTATGAAACAAACACAACAATTGTTCTTAATGATTTAATTTTGTTATATCTTGTGGGCTTTAAATTTATCATTGAAAACTATTTCATTGCCATTTACTAATTTATGTTAGTGAAATTTGTAAATGTAATATTTATTCTATATGTAAACAGTAGAGCACGCAAAAGATAATATATTGTAGAAGAATCACAGGAATTTAGATTCCAATTAGAAAGACATAACCGCAATATTTTCAGATTTGTAATTATCTACCAAAAAAACCAAACCCAAACCAACATTTGTTGTTAAAAAAGCGTCACAAGATGATAACAGGTTATTTCATTTGGCTAAATCTGTTTTATTCTGTAACACTTCAAATGACAATCTGTGAAAATTTGAGACATTTGAATTAATTAGTAGTAAAGATATCTCCATCTGAAAATATGATAAATATAATAAACATCATTTGATCTGTAAGCATTCAAAAATTACTAAATAAATTGGCCACCCCAAACAAGTTTTTTTTCCTAAGGAAATACACAGTCAATTACTGATATAAAAAAATAAAATTATGGCCTGGGATTGTGATCTTATAAATGAACATTAAATTGCCTAATACAGGATTTTTCTTTATAATATTTAACAAATGTTTATGTACTTGATTGTCTGGGAGATGTGTATACGCCATGGTCCTATAAGAGCATATCATGTTAAATATTCAAATACATTTATAATTGTATTCAATACAGAATGACAGATTTGGATGAGTGAGTGAATAAATGATTGCCATTAAACAAATGTTATTTTATTGCTGGATTATATAGTGGTCAGCTATTATCATTTAATTAGTATTTCTTTGTAATGGTAAATACTGATATTAGATTTTATGAGCATTTTAATGGAATGTAGAGTAGTCGTATTATATTTATACATTGATCAGAAAATAATTATTACTTACATCATGCTCCCCGCAAGATGTATAAATATTGTTATTCAGTTGAAGTACTTGTGACATATTTTAAATGTATTGATTAAACATACATTATGCAAGAGCTAAATCTGACTATTGCAGGTCTTTCTTTAGGCCTGAAATGTTTTCTAAATTATTAATTAGACATTAAGTAACTTATCCAGGCCATAATCAACTCTCGATGGTATCTCCGATATTAAATAGATTAGAACAGTTCAGCTAAAAAATGAAGGAGCGAGACTTAGCTTCGAACAACCAGTACGGTGGTTGAAATTATTGCACACGTCTTGTCAAACCCGCAAAGGCTAATATCTTCGCTCGCAATAGAGTAATTTGAATGAAATTTTCAAATTATTCATTTTACATTATCTTTTTTCGAACTATTATAGCAAGAATGGCTAACTCTTTAACTAAATCTTACATAATGTATCTTTAATCAACTGAAACTCTAATTGTTTAAATAGTCAGGTGTGTTTTCTAAATAACATTGGCTTTAAGTTAATCAATTTTATTTGAGCATATATGTTTTTTTGAAAAAATTTAAATTTCATCACCTGTCAGGTATTTTATGTTATAAAATAACATATTATTAGTTTGTTATTGATTTCATTCAAATGGACAAATTCTTTGGATGTTTGTTTTATTGTTGATTATATTATTATTATTATTATTAATTGTTTGTTTTCAGTTAAATTAATTGTTAGCAATTTTCATATCATAACCAGGCTTATTTCTTCATTGATTAACACGGATTGCTAAAGATCTGATTTTTGTCTTGTCCTTGTACGAATAAATAACAGAATAAATAATGGGGAGAGAGGGGGGTATCCTAATTATAAGGTCATTGAGGAGGTGTGGTAGAGAGGTGAGTGGCTGCAAATAACTGTAAATCTCCTGTACCATTTCATAGGTTTTGTAAACTAGCTCTGTCACATTGTCACTTAGTATGAGAGCCATAAGGGCTGACATGGAAAGTGTGTTTGGATTGGATGAAAAACTGATTATGTATAAAAATGATATGGGATCTTTGGCTAGTTGTTATTTAATAGAATTGTAACTTTCACTGTGAATCTACCCCACCTTCCTCTATGATACAATAGATAAAAAGTAAAATCCATGCTCGTTTCCTGTACTTATAGTGGAATATGTTAGGGTGTTTGTGATTATGGACATTATGGTTAAATGTATATCGTTTGTAAATATTTCATGACATAACTCAATCATTTTCATGCAAAATTAATATAAAAGATAAAAAAATAGATTTATTTGTTGATTTTCATGAATGATTTGATCAATTAGTGTTAATGGTCTGTATCCTAACTACCCAAGTGTGAGATAGTTAATGCTGGAAGAGAAAATAATAATTAATAAGAATGACATGGATTATAAATCACCACGATACATTTTTTAACTGGAACGATCCTTGTCCATGATGGATATTAATAACTGAACATAAGAATGATTTAAACCAGTCTCTGAAGTCCGAAGATTTATTTTTAGCATTAGATTCTTTCTCTCAATGCCAACGTGTGCCATCTGACAGACCTTCGCATCCCTGTACTTCACTGAATACACTCCAGGATCGAACCCAGGTTAGTGAGCCACTGAGCCAGCACCTTACTCACTAAGTCACCGTGGCTCTCGTCTATAACCTTATAAATACATTTGTCCACATGTGGTAGAAAGCATTCAACCCAACGAAAGTTTGAGAAAAAGCCTGAGTCTGTCAAAGGGATGAGAATTAAAATGGTGACCTGTTCTTGGGGACTTGCTTGAATTGATCTGAATAAAGACAGTTATTGTTTCCCGTGTACTCTGTTCATGCCGTGGTGTACCAGAGGTTTGGCGTGGTCAGCTCCTTGATGGACTGCCTTCAAGACTCAAGTAGCCTTTTGGAGCCTATTACTGAGAAATATGAGAAAGGGTGACATTTTAAAATAGATGACATCAAGTTTTATTTAAATTAAGTAAGGCAACTTGTAAAACAAAGTTAACAGTGACATTTTCAGAAAACTTTATTTTAATTTCAGTCTTTGATTGGAATTTTCCGGCATGGTTTCCCCTTGTCAGTGGTGCAGGATGGAGGGCCCAACAAGGACAGCTGTCTAGTCATTTGGATGGAACGCAAAACCTGATGCCCTGTGTACACATTGGCGTGCATATAAAAGATCCCTTGGCAGTTGGAATTCTGGGCAAAATTTTCTTCATAGCACACTGTATGGATCATGCCCGTCTTCGCTTAACCCCATTTCATTTCTTTGATTGGATGCCCCCCCCCCCCCCCTCTGTAAGAGATTCCTGGGCCGTAGCCACCTCTGCCCATTCTCTGCACTCCAATGTGTTTAGGTATAGCAATTTTTTCTTATTCCCATTCTTCCAACTTTTCCCGCCAATATTCCAACGTGATTAAAACACAGATCCTATTTCGTTTCGTTTTTTATAGTTCAAAATTTCATTTTACTTATCTTTACTACACTAGGATCTGGAAGAGTTGTTATATTACCGACGTTTTGGTTGAAGTTAGTTATAAGCCAATGAAACGGTCTGTTACGGCGACTTCTTGGCATAGGGTCAAAAGCCGCTTGTACGACCCCTGACATGACCTTCGTGTACAACTTGTCAGACCTTCATGTAGTGTAGGCCATCGACATTATAAAAAAACGAAACAAAATATAGACCTGTATTTTAATCAGATTGGCCAATATTCATGACTTTCCTGCAAAAGGACTGGGAAGTAAATGCAAATGAATTAGAGAAATCACCTACTAAAAAGACATCACAGACATTAGGATTCCTTTTATCAGGCCTAGAATGGGGCTAGAAAAAAATGGAAAACGTCAACCTGTCTCCCCAATCACAATCCTCATTTTTATCAGATGATTGTGGCATGTTTGTAAGCTTTGTGATTATAGGCCAAGAAATGCTATGGATTTTACATTGAAGTCAATAGGGTAGAGAATTACTAGTCTTAATCCACCAGTCTCAGGCATGAGTTGTCTCTCTTGTGCGGCACGATTGCTCAGTTGAAAGCAGCTGAACGTTAATGAGGTTGGTTCCAAAAAGATATTATCAGCCTTCCAACTCACTGCCTTGAAAATCAGAATACCATTGTTGTGAATGAATAAGGTAACGTAATTCTGAGATGTACATCTCGGCTCCGACTTAAATTTCTTCTTTTCTGAAACAAGCTATTTCAAGAAGGATGGATATACAAATCATTCTGTAGTGTATAATGTATTTGTATTGGAAGTGCGGATACCGGTCGGCGGTAGCCTACCCGGTAGTATATTACTAATATTAGTATTAGTAGTGAAGGAACCAACTAACTATATTATATTGATCAGGCGTGTACGCTAGTTCTACTGACTTGAATAGCCTGTATAAAATTTTATTCATTTGTTTATAGTTCATGGACCTGGCAACGAAACCATGTCTATTATATAGGCCTATAATATTAGTATTACACAATATTAGTATTACATTACAATTACAAAATTTACATAAAATTATTTCGTGTAAGATCAATTAAAGGAGCTAAATCGCTAATATTTGATAGCTATAAATTGACACAAATGGGGCGCAACGAATATAACAATGCAGTATGAATGTATATAATATAAACTGATTTACATTCCATCGTTTGTGTTTTTACAATAATTTCTAATCAGTTATGTTCGGCGAAATACGTCAGAAGTCTCAATCGAATGGCAATCTCTAGCTTCTGGTTATTCCAGTCTACACTGATAGTATTTATTGTGTGTGCTCTCCAGATAAGAATATGATGTCACCGTTTGACATGACTTGTGGTATGAGTCTAGCCTCGTTCTTTGAGACCCTTGGTACAAATGGTGCTGAAACGCATTATGGTACACGATTCGTGTAGGGCCTACCAATGGTAAAATGTTTATTTTGTCTTAAATATTGGATATCAGAAGCCCATCTTTTCCCGCTGATCACAACATCAATGTTGATTTAAATTGACAAATAATTTGTGTTTTCACTGTTGAAGATTTTGGATGATATTGAGTTATATAGAGACTTGTGACTTAGCTACTTTAAATAAGTACTAAAATAAAGAAATTAATGGTATAGCCTACAGTCATGATATCTGCCCCTGTTCTTTACTTTAATACTTTGGATATTAAAATGCATTTTAATGTCGTAATTTGGGGTAGACAAATTCAGCTTTAATAGGTACGGTAAAAATATCTCTAGAATTTCCAGATTTAGTCACTCTATTTCAGAGCCTTAAAAAATAATGACTGAGTGATAACTGATGATGGTATTTCAGTGACTTAGATTTTTAACATGTATCAACAAAGAATTAGCCTACCTCTTTCGGGCAATTATAAATTCAGAAATTTTCTGATTCATTATAGGCCCTATTTGTACTGATATACCCGGTAAGGTATTGTTTTTTAAATTCATATGTATGTAGAAAAATATGTAAGCTGCTAAGCATACCGACCGGTATATATATATATATTAATATACAGAGCTCACAATTCTAAAATTTCTGAATTTGGCACTGTGTATAATATCGGGTCATTTTACGAATTAACTCTCCTTTCATGTCACGTCCCTTTTGAAGTGAATGTCAGAAACTGGTATAATTTAATTTATTGTTTTTTCTTCCACAGCATCATCAAATATAGGCTATAAATAAATATCCCGAAATCTATTTACTGAAATTTTGCAAAAATTTTCAAAGTGAAAGAAGAGAACAAAATCAAAGAAAAACGCTGTATCACGCAACGTATTACGGAAAAACAATCATAAATAATTAGAACAGTGTTCTTTATATCATGTATTTAATTCATTGTCGAAATTATGCAAATATTCAGGATTATAACATTATTGATAACATCCTTCATAGGGAAATATAAAATGTGAATTTAGTGATGATGATCGAGGCTAGGCCGAAAATTCAATTGCTGGTATCTCATACGTAACATGAAAGGAGAGTTATTTCATAGAATGACCTGTATGTATGTTGTGGTTCTCCACTTTTAAGATACCAGTATTGATCAACATCATATTTATTAATTAATTAATTACCTGGTACTGTTATTACTTATATCAGTTGTGCAATAAAGCACTATTATGAGGAAATATGAATAGGGAATAATAAAAGGAACTAAATCTCTATTCTTTGGCACCTAGAAATGTACACCAGTGGGTTGCAACACATAGAATAATGTAATATGAATGTATATAAACTGAATTACATTCAATCGTTTCTGTTTTTACTGTAATTTCTAATCAGTTATGTTTGGCGAATTATGCGAAGAGTGCAAATTGAATGGCAGTCTTTGACGTCTGGTTATTCCAGTCTACGTCGTAGCCTTCCATTGTGGGATATGTATCAAGTCGCTCATTAAAAATGGCTCTCACCTTAGACGAGGCCCTGCATTAGTGATTTCATAATTCTGAATGTGATTAATTTACATAGCAAACACAAGTAACAGAGTAATTACTAACAAACTTAATATCTTATGATAAGCTTACTTGTTGATTGTCAAAAATATGCTTAAGTTGTAATAAAATTTATAAGTCTAATTTATATGAATTGGTTGTTAAGACACTAATCTCCAACAGTTTTAAGGTTCAGTTAGTTACACAATTTTAAATTCATATGGACAATAATGGATAAGGATTAGTTTGATAAGAGGTAAAGATTAATGCTATAGACACTTTTAACTATCCGTGTTGAAACAAGTTTGGGAGATTACCAGTATTTTCTAAATTTATCCATGTCTGTAGTTGGTCTACACTGAACTTATACTAGAATACGATATATCAATGACAATAATTGGTAAGTAATAGACTATCACCATTTATAAAGGAAATGCATGAAATGTATTCTACAAGCATTATATTGGAATGTTTGGTTATTAGTAGAAAGAAGTAACTCAAAAAGAAGCCTGGATACAGTGTCGAGGGATATGCAAGGTACATCACGATAAACACTTTCCTCAAAATGTCACAATTCTAGAAAACTGAAAATTATTGATCACTTATAACCAATCATATATCATTTTGTAGCCTATTAATGTAATAGTTTGTGTTGGGATACATGAAATCCTAGGGATCATTAATGATCAAAAGGTCACATCAACGCTTTATGGCCTTTAAAATTGATCTTTTCCAAATTCAGTTGCTTAAGACATTTTGCATGGCCCTTTTTTCAAAAAATTGAAGAACTTTCCAAAATTCAATTTCTAATACCCACTACTATATGCTAATCTAAATTCTTTGGCAGTAGACCCATAAGTGTAGACTGTTGTGTCATCCGCAAAGAGGTCAGTTTTGGAGTATAGGTATAAAAGTAAATTATTTATTAAAATATTAAATAATATGGGTCCCATTATTGATCCTTGGGACACACCGGCCAGATACAGTGACATGATCAATTAACGTAGAAGTTGGATTTGTAAAAAACACAAGTTGGAGAAGAAATGATTTGAGTTAAATTGTAAAAATTGAGTGAATCCGTCCAATAAGAATTTTTGCTAACAGGTTGATATTTATATCACCAAAACTGATGAGTTCTCTTCCTTCATTCCATGCAGAATCCATCATTATTTTAAATTCATCTTGCCATTTAGCATTAGATACCAGATTTCTGTATCACTATATCATATGGTACAGTGACTAACAAAGACCTTTTATTTGTGCTGTGACAGCCGTCTGTAATAATTCAGTTTTCAATTAGGGCCTACAGGTATGTCATGGTTTATGGAAATCAATAAATGTTCAACATAAATATTTATTTGCAAATATAGTACTTTTACAGTTGTTAATAAAATATTTATTATAATTATAGATTTTGGAATAGATGAAATTTTATTGAGTACACAGTATCATCAACATGGCAGCTCCAGTATTTAGAAGAATATTCTCCCTTTCAAATTCCATACCAAAAAAGTTTGAAGTAAGTTTGCATTAAATTTGATCTATTCTAAACTTAAAAGTTAAAACCAGTGTATAATCATAAGAGTTTGGATACCAGAGATTGTTGTGTTAAAGACGCAAAACTACTTCAATAAAGTGTCCATGTGGCAATGTTTATAGTTAAAATTGCATCTCGGTAGAGTTCCTGAAAGTCGGCGAGTTTACTGACCTCTGTATCGGCCTAATCGCGTATGTAGCATTTCTTACAGATTTTCAGCACACAAATCTAATCAACACCTAAAATTCAAATTGACATTTATGTTTGTGGCAAACCAATATGGGTGTGTCCTTTTTCTAAACGATTATGAAGCCAATGATGAATGGTCTTTGGAAAGACCAAAGGGAATGCCAGACTTATGCGAAATAGTAACTAGATTTACAGAAGTAGAGATTTAAACATGTTAGGCTGTCTTATCCAAAAAATATACTTTAATTGACATCATTATTTCAGGTCAGTGTTCGTACAAAATCATTTTACAAACATAATTTGAATGGTATGGACAGTGCTAAGTTAGCTGACGTCAAATTAAATCCAGCTTCTCTATATACAGCTTTAGATGCCATAGATGTTAATTATTTCTGTGGTGTTCCAGATTCTTTACTTAAAGGTAATATCATGGCTATGTTATTTAAAAAACAAGTAAAATTTGCTGCCTAAATAATAGTTCGTTTAGAATTCAGCAAAATCTGAGAATATTATATTGATTAACAAGGGAGTTAAAAAATCTTAATCAAAGATAACTTTGCAGTTGTAATTGGAGATAGAATAGTCAGAAACGATGCTGCGCAGCCAAAATTTTATTTTTTGCATCACACACATACTTGCAATATAGAATGAAAAATTAACAGTATGTTACTGTATATATTTAAAAGCGTATTTCCAGTTAAAGATATATCTTGGACTGAATATTTATCCACACATAATTTGATACATTTATATTGTTTCTGCAGATTTCTGTGCCTTTGTCACTGATAATGCACCTCAAGAAAATCATGTTATAACTGCTAATGAAGGCAATGCTGTAGGTTTAGCAGCAGGCTATCACCTGGCAACTGGAAAATCAGCAATGGTGTATTTGCAGGTATATATATATATATGTATCTCTCTCTCTCTCTCTCTCTCTCGTTCATAGCGAAGCAAAAGATAGAGAAACTGACATCTTGTGTAGATGGAAGTTTGACAAGTTCCATATTCTATACCTTATTTATCCAAAAACATTGAAAAATGCATTTATTTGCACTTTTGTTAATAAAAAAGTATATAAAATACAAACTTAATCAAATTTCATTCCTGTCAAGTGGAAACATGAGGCCTATTTGAAATGGGTCTGTCTGATCTGCCTGCCCGCTACCCGAACTACCCATACATTTCATTGCCAACTGCATGTTTTATCTGCGATCCATATAGTTTTTATTTAACGCCCATATATTTTATTTGCCACTCGTATTTAAAATGCATGCCTTTCTCACATTTCTCAGTGTTAGATCCTATACTTGAGTCTTGAGGGCATTACCAAGCCTCTGCTCCCACTGTATTTTGACATTATCACATTTAACATTTAAAAGAATGTCAACTTCTCTTCAGAATTCAGGTCTTGGTAATATGGTAAACCCACTGATGTCACTAGCTGCCCCAAAAGTTTATAGTATACCAATGTTATTACTAGTTGGCTGGCGAGGTGAACCAGGTGTGAAGGATGAACCACAACATGTCACTCAAGGATTAATAACAAATGATATGTTAGGTATTCAATTTAGAATTTAACATAATAAGCACATTTTCCAATAAGCATGGCATGTATTAGAGATGGTGGGTTTGGTGGTTACCAGATTAGATCTACTATACACCCAATCCTTATTGAATAAACTTTATTAAAGCCAGATTGTAAACATCACAAAATTTTACCAATTGTACTGTTGTTATTATGTATAGTACCTCAGCAAATGTATCCAAGAATGGCAAGTACATAGCAGATAGCAGAATTATTAATAGTCTATTTGTCTAAAACACAAAGATGGTGGTGTGAAATAATTTCATGAATTAAATAACCTTTACTAAAGGAAGAATAACCAAAGTTAGATTTGATCAACTTAAATAATAGGCCCTAATGATGTTTATTAACATTATAAAAAATTGTTATATTAACAGAATCAATGAGAATACCATATGAAGAATTGCCTTCTGATGAAACACAACTAATGGATGTAAGTAGTTTTATATATCATACAATAAGACCATATTATACATATAGTACACTAACTGAGGAGAGAGTTTGTTTTCAATTGAGATTTAGGACTGGCTCTTCTATTTTTATATGCCCACATTTTCATGTGGACGTATATTGTCGTCACCCCTGTCCGTCCGTCCACAATTGTTTGTGAACTGTCTACAGGTCACAATTTTTATCCGATTTCAATGAAAGTTGAAATATAGGTTTATCACCCTAAGATCTCGGTTCCTTTCGATATTGGCATGTATCGGACTGTAACTTCATGGATTATGGCCCCTGATTGTACGAAAAATCATGTTTTTAGCTTGTGAACACTGTAGAGGTCACAATTTTTATCCGATTTGGTTTAAACTTGAAATGTATGCTTATAACCCGAAGATCTCGGTTCCTTTCGATATTCACGCATATCGGAATGTTACTTCCTGAATTATGTCCCCTTATTGTACGAAATATCGCGTTTTTAGCTTGTGGACCCTATAGAGGTCATAATTTTTATCTGATTTAAAAAAAAACGTATTATTATATCACCGTTACACCCTAAGGACGGCCGAGTTCGAATTTCGTGAAAATCAGCCCAAAACTGATAGACAAAATGGACGCCGTTCGTTCTCAAATAGCGTAAAAATATGGTATATCAAGGTTGTGGACCCTATAGAGGTCTCAATTTTTATCCAGTTTTGTTGAAACTTGAAATATAAGTTTATAACACAAAGATCTCGGTTCCTTTCGATATTTGCGCATATCGAATTGTAATTTCCTAGTAATGGCCCTTGATTGTAGGAAGAATCACTTTCTTTTTAGCTTGTTCTCTATCCATCTCTCGAAAATGTGGGTGTATCCTGCCTGGCAGCCGCTGGTTTATAGCTTTTGTAACCCAACAAGGACAAAGTAGAGAGGTTATTTTTCCATTGAGAATTAGGATGGCCTATCCATGTTTTATAGTTTTGTGTGCAAGTTAATCTGCAACCATTTGGCCACTTGTATTCTTTGTTTTCAAAGATTTAGTTAAATGCTTTTGAAGGATTTATTTATATAAAATTCTTTATGAGATAATAAGACAATTTAATATCTGGTCTCTTTCACCAAATGTTTCATAAAACAGGAATGAAGGACTCAAATTAATAGCAGTTAGAAAAATCACAAGACTCTGCTTATTGGAAGTTTAAACAATGCATATCTGCTGACAGTATAACCCATTTTAAGCAAATTGTCATATCAGTATTATTGTGGTTTATTTCCACTTTCGAGGAAAATATGGTTTTTACCAATACTTAAAATAAAGACAATTTTTCATATTACAGCTTGATGTAAATTATTTGTAAACAATAAAGTGGGGGACCCCTCGGGACTACATCTTATCGTTAATACCATCCGGTGCGAATGTTCTTAAAGTGTGAATTCATTGGCTTTCCTTACGGCATCGTTTTTGCCGTTATCTGGGTCAGTCTTAAAAAGCTCTATAATTTTAATCATAACATTTCTACTCGTATGTCTATCTAAGTTGAAGTGTAGTGCGACCGGCTTTGGCCTGTTGTGTATAATAGCTGCATAGTGTTCCTTTATTCGTTTTGAAAAGACACGTTGGCTTTCTCCTACGTACGTATTGTTTTTTGGAGGAGCATATTAATAGGTAGACTATATTTCTACTTAAACAATTATAGCCCGTGCGGCAGGAATATTTCTTGCCAGTTTTACCACTAATAAAGTAGATATTTTGGTCTAATTTGTAGCAGATATCACAGTCTTTCTTGATACATTTTTCGAATAGATTTTAAAACGTGACTCCGCTGGTTTGCGGGTCCCGTGGTGGATGGATGAATCTTGCTTTCATCAGCGTATCCTTCAAATTAGGATTACTCCTAAATGCTGTGATTGGTTTGATGTTTGAGATGGAACGGCACATGTCCGATACGGTTAATAGATGCCATTTCTCTTTTATGAGCATGCTAACTTGAACAGCAGTTGGATTATAATCCGTGATAAAAACGAGCAACTTTTGTTTTTTCAAAATGGTAGCCGTAGTCGGGCTTAACAGGTCTTTTCTGGCTAGAGAATTTTCCGCGTTCTTATTTTCCGACACTACTTTGTGTGGGTAGCCTCTTTTATGATAAAAATTGAGAAGATCTTGGATATGGCTTTCATAGTCTATTTCTAAGCGACATACTGTTGTATGTAGTAAAGCCGGAGTTAATTCTCAGCCTAAACTGTCTCGTTATCATTTGTTTATTCAGGCATGCCTGGTGGTAGTCTATTTGAATACCCAGGCGGCTAATTTTGCTGCTCAAGTTTCGGAGTGTTTTGTACTCCGGTATAACTGCTAAGGGCAGAACAAGCGCTTTCTGATTGGCAGACTTTGCTCCGGTTTGATTTTTGGAGCTGAAGTCTACCCTGAATCTTTTTGGTACGGAGTGAACTTCCCCTATTGTGATGTTAGACTCGGGATCCAGGATCTCGTTTAAAATCACTGATTTTAAAAAATTCATAGCTTGGAACAGGTTGCTCCGCAGTTGGGTTGAAGTAAAAAATCTGTAAATAGGCGAACAGCCTTCCCAGATTTCTCTCAGCTACTAGTTTCGTTCTTATTCGAACTCTTCAGGCTTAAATGAGAATGTGCGGTGGCCCTCATTATATAGTGTCGGTGGGCACCGGAGCACATGTGATGTCACAGATGGACCGGAGTCGATCTTTGGCACCGGAGTCGATTATTCCGAAAAGTGTGCAAAGATATTCGGCTAAGAATTTGCCGTCATGATTATGCTTATTTGCATTGACTCAAGGCTCCTAACCCTTTTGATCTCTAAGTTTAAGGTTTCGTAAACTAATGAGGGCTTAAAAATAACTCTATTAGGTTATGGGCGTGTATGCACTAATTTTTTATTAGCTTATGCCGTAGGGGTACCACGGCTAAATTAATTGGGAACTCGTCCTTGTTTTTCATATTCGGCCTTGATTTAGGCTAAGGATTATGCTACTATTTCGCATTATACTTTGAAAAGTGGCTCTAAGAAAATATTTCTTGAATTCAACAAGGAGCTCACGAGGTTGTTTGGTTTTTTTTTCTTACAGATATTAGAAAGATCAAGAAAACACATGCAAGATAAAAAATCACCATTTTGTTTACTTGTAAGAAGTAAAACATTTACACCATACAAATTGACACAAAATAAAATAAAGTAAGTAAATGCTGTTTTTGAAGTTTGTTGAAGTGAATTCTCCATTACTCTTTGTTAGGCTGAAATTCCTGTCATAGCATCTGATCATGACTTTTATGTCACTGGAAAAAAAATTTCAACTAAATTGGCATGATTGTTAAAGTTTATGTCATTATGTCTGTTGTCTGATTATATTTTTCTAAATCGCTCGAAGAATTTAGTATGTTGCCAGAGATGTGGTCATCCATATTTGTCCATTGGGACAGGGGCATCTTTGAGTGACAAAGTTAGCTACTTGTGATCGTGAAAAGAGTTTTCCTTGTGAATTTCGTTGAAATCATCTTTAGATGATAAAGTTCATTAAACTGAATGAGCTGAACCACTTATTGTTATGTTTTTGTATGTCAGCCAAATTTGGTAGGTATGTCGACTGGTGATTGTCGAGTTTAGTTCAAATAAAGTTACCTTGCATCCAATGGAATGGGTGTGGGGCACCATTTGACTAATTTTTTTTTAATACATGACACAATTATATGGAATACAAGTTACTTAAAGAGTTTAATTTTTTTTTACCAAAATTCGATCCGAAGGCCAGGTGCTGCTGTGTTGCGTCATATGAGAATTATTCTTTTTGTTTTATGTCGTATGTTTGTTTCAAGAGGCTTTAATGAATTGCAGACGACATGACGTCATTTTTACCATTATGATGATTGAAGCCAGTGACGCCATTTTGGTTATCCCAAAACATTAAAATTAGTTGATTGAGTAGAGTAATATAAACCTTCTTTTTTAAAGAACCTCCCCCCCCCGAGAATAACATAATACCAAATTATCCCAGTGTGAAAGGCAACACAAATATAAATATGAATAATAAGTTATTAAGTTATAACAAATTATGTACTAACTATCTATAAAGAGAGAGGTAGTATTGGCCTAACCTGTTCCTCAATCCTTTTCTGAGAATAAAATATTGTTTATAAAAAAAGTCTTTAAAGTTATAGAATTAATAATACAATCTCAAACAGAGTAGCTTATATACAGCAGATTGTATATATTTATGAATATACAGTTATAATAAAACAAGTAATTTCTATTAAGTTATAGAATAGAAAAAGCCTGTATTTCGAGACTGAATTTTTGAAAAGTATATATCTCATTGACTCAGAATCTTTTATAAATTGATAAAAGACCAGCTGACATTAATCATGCCAATTTTGGAGGTTATGTACACAATAAGAGGCTGTGGAAATCCTGAAAAAAAATTGAATATTTCATTTGTTCCACAGTTTGCCACCTTGTGGTACAAACAGTGTGAATTAAATGCACATTGAGTGTGATGCTAAATTCATCATCTGTCTCAGAAGCCTTATTTCAAATTTTTATTATTTCTCAGAGAGTTTTTGACCTAGAGAGGTATAAATTCGGATTTGTTAGCTTAAGGCCATATGCTATAATATATTTTTTTTATAATTTTTATACTCCCACATTTTCATGTGGAAGTATATAGTCGTCGACCCTACACTATACAGCAATACAGGTCACAATTTTTATCCAATTTTGACGAAACTTGAAATATAGGTCTATCTCCCAAAGATCTCGGTTCCTTTGGATATTGGCATGTATCGGACCATAACTTCATGGATTATGGCCCTTGATTGTACGAAAAATCATGGTTTTAGCTTGTAGACACTTTAGAGGTCCCAATTTTGATCCGATTTTGATGAAACTTGAAATGCATGTTTATAACCCAAAGATCTTGGTTCCTATCGATATTCGCGCATATCGCATTGTAACTTCCTGAATTATGGCCCCTGATTGTACGAAAAAATCGCTTGTGGTCCCTCTAAAGGTCACAATTTTTATCCAATTTAAAAAAACATTTTAGTATATCACCAAATTAGACCAAAATTGCCGGACAAAAAGGCCGCCCCTTGTACGCAAATAGTGTAAAAATGAGGTCAGAATTTTCATTCTAAGGATACCAAGCACAGAAATTACATTTAATGTACTGTTATTTTTTTATCATTTTTATACGCCCACATTGAAATGTGGACGTATATTGCCGTCGCCCCCGTCCGTCCTTCCGTCCATCGTCCACAATTTCTTGTGAACGCTCTAACGCCAACAGTTATCATCCGATCTTTCTGAAATTTACATGCATTATTTAAATTAGTGAAACGAGGAAGCCTATTGAATTTCAGCAATTTCCATTTATTACCTCTAGAGTTATGGCCCTTGTTTCACTTTATTGAACCTTGTGAACGCTCTAACGCCAAAAGTTATCATCCGATCTTTCTGAAATTTATATGCATAATTTAGGTTACGGAAACGAAGAAGCCTATTGAATTTCGGCAATTTCCCTTTATTACGTCTAGAGTTATGGCCCTTGTTTCACTTTATTGATCCTTGTGAACGCTCTCACGTCAAAAGTTATCATCCAATCTTTCTGAAATTTATATGCATTATTTAGATTGCTGTAACGAAGAAGCCTATTGAATTTCAGCAATTTCCATTTATTACCTCTAGAGTTATGGCCCTTGTTTCACTTTATTAAACCTTGTGAACGCTCTAACGCCAAAAGTTATCATCCGATCTTTCTGAAATTTATATGCATTATTTAGGTTACGGAAACGAAGAAGCCTATTGAATTTCGGCAATTTCCCTTTATTACGTCTAGAGTTATGGCCCTTGTTTCACTTTATTGATCCTTGTGAACGCTCTAACGTCAAAAGTTATCATCCAATCTTTCTGAAATTTATATGCATTATTTAGATTGCTGTAACGAAGAAGCCTATTGAATTTCAGCAATTCCCGTTTATTACGTCTAGAGTTATGGTCCTTGTTTCACTTTATTGATCCTTGTGAACGCTCTCACGTCAAAAGTTATCATCCTATCTTTCTGAAATTTATATGCATTATTTAGGTTACTGAAACGAAAAAGCGTATTGAATTTCAGCAATTTCCGTTTATTACGTCTAGAGTTTTGGCCCTTGTTTCACTTTATTGATCCTTGTAAACGCTTCAACGCCAAAAGTTATCATCCGATCTTTCTGAAATTTATATGCATTATTTAGATTGCTGAAACGAAGAAGCCTATTGAATTTCAGCAATTCCCGTTTATTACGTCTAGAGTTATGGTCCTTGTTTCACTTTATTGAGTTATGGTGATTGTGAACGTTTGAATGACAAATGTGATCTGTATGAAATTTATATGCATAAATTTATAAAACGAAAAAGCCTGTCAAATATCAATAATTTCTGTAGATTACTTCCAGAGTTAAGACCCTTGCTTCAGTTTGTAGAACCTTGTAAACCCTCAAACGACAAAATTTATAATCTGATCTGTAAGGAACTGTCTTATAAAGGCTCCCAATTACCTACAAAGGAATAAATATGCGATAACCCTTGACGACCGCTCGGACGATTTAGCTGCTGTGGGCATATTTTTGTTGCCTGGCAACCTATCTTTGATTTAAAATATCCAATTTTGATGAAAAATAGCTTGAAATGGACCCAATCAAATCTCCAAATTTTAGCGTTTTTAAATTTCAATAGTGTTTTGCAGAAATATCAATCAGGTTACATTTTGACATTTTAAGCTTAATGGAATTTTTTCAAAATTTATAAGAATTATTCTATAGGGACTAAGTACGAACCCTACTCAAATTCAGAAGTTTACAATCGTAAATTCTTACAGTTGTCATAGAAAGAAATCTAACCCCAAGAACAAAACTTGCTTTATTAGAAACAGATTTTTTCCTTATCTGTCTGCCCATGTATAAGTTATATTTTTAATATGGTTCACCATATCTTGGTATCTGTTTGGGCATATTCCTGATCAGTCATTTGCCGACGGCTGATCCTTGTAGAACATGCCGGTCTATCAGCATCCCTGGTTATAACCTATATTTGTAAAAATACACTTGTTATTATAGATTACCATTAACTAGAGAATATGCGTTACAGAGAGTGGTAGATTTATTAAGTGAAAGTGATATTATTGTTAGTACTACTGGTATGTTATCTCGAGAATTGTTTGAATACAGGTTAGTAATTATTCATTTTTAAAAAACAAAAAAATATTCTTGGCTGTTCTTCTCAAAAGCTCCTTGCTAACTCTATGGTATATATAAAGATCCCGGAAGAAATAAAAATCAATTTGGCTTATCCTATAATACAGTCATGAATCAAGAAAAAAATGTATCTTCAATTGCTCAATGTTTTTGGAATTTGAAGTTTTGAGTTTTAAGAAGACACAACACTTACACTATGGTATAAAGATCCTGGAAAAAATAAAAATCAATTAATAGGCTTGCCCTTGAATTGGAAAATATATAGAATGAATGATATTTTTGGAAGTATTATCCTTGGTCAATAAGTGAGAATTTATATTCTAATGAATATTTTTGTATTTAAACTGCAGGTGGTCATTGCCTGACTGCTTCTGAAATCCAAACTATGTTCATTAATGATTGTCATGCACCATGAAAGGTGTGCCTATGCCTTTTTCCACTTCACATTTTTTTTTTTGCAAATTGATGTAGCTCACAATTTTTATTGTACTTTTATATTTCATGAATTATTTTGAAACTGTTAAAATTGTTTATGTTATTTAGAAATTGTCATTTGTTAATGTTCTTTATTTTACAGGGTAAATACGGGTAAAGGTCATGAAAGAGAATTTTTAACAGTAGGTTCTATGGGTCATGCATCATCTATAGCGCTTGGAATAGCTTTACAAAAACCTGAGAGACAGGTACATATAGAATTTTACAACAAATCAAATACAGTAGACTATACATACCCTATAAGCCTTTCTTATAATAAATATAATATACTATAATTATAAAAATTGTATTGACACGTCATGCTTGGTTGATTTGAATGCTTTTGCTCTTCTCACTTCTGTTTGAAGCTCTTTAGCTTAACTTAAAGCTCATTTAATTCCTGGGGGGTTGGGTGGCAGAATGGTCATTACGTGCGTGTTGTATCATATGGTCTGTCATTGAGTCAGCTAGTGTTGTTTCAATTCCCCAGTTGTACGTGACAAGGAGTAGGGTCACCTGTCCAATCTCGTGGGTTTTCTCCGGGTCCTATGGTTTCCTCCCACTGCTAAAGACCCCTACACGCAAGCGAATTATTGAAATAAAATTGAAGCATGTGTTAGTCCCAAAATGACCTAGTTTGTATCAAGTGGTCATTAAACCCCATTTCTCCCTCTCTCATTTATTTCCTTACTCAACTGTTCCTACCGTTTTACATTAATTGTATTTATAAGCCATCTTTTATTATCTTATTTGAATATTTAACTGGATATAATGGTTCAGTGTTTACCTTTCCATGGAGTTATGTTAGCCAGTTGACAAAAATAATTAAAAGAGAAATAACATGAAACTAGTGTCTCAGTAGAACTTTTAGATATCTAAAATCAGTAAAGCTCTATTATTTAATTAGTAAGCAATTACACGAGAATTATATGTTATATTGGGATTATTGGTCCATATAACTGCAATAAAAATAATTGGGTCTCCTGAAGTACTGAATGTAGGGTTGATGTGTCAAAAAACACAACAATGCATGAATTTAAATTCTATATTTTAAGACTGTCAAAATGTAGAGTTTAATGTGTCAAAAACTAAAATATATTTATAGATTTAATTTTTAATCCAAATATTGTCTGTAATCATATATGCACTCATCTTAAAAAGTTGCACCGATATTAAGATTTGAAGAAAAAAGTGATTGAAAATTCTTCCATAGCGACCAAAACGGACTAATTATTTACATTTCTGATTAGATTTCGTGTTTGAATGCAGGGGGAATAAAAATATGTTAAAAAATGACAAAAGTTTTTGCTTTTGTTTCATTTAACTCAAATGGGGTACCTGCAACATGTTACCTATATTAAATGTGTTATATTAGTTTTCAATTTCAATTAGTGATGTTATCGACATGCATACATGAGTTTATTTTACCAATACTCCCCCCCCCCCAATACAACATATACAATAATAAATTTAGTAATAATTGAATGTTATTTTACAGATTGTATGTTTAGATGGTGATGGTGCTGCTTTGATGCATCTAGGTTCCATGGCAACTGTAGGACAAAGTAATTCTACTAACTTTAAACATATACTCTTCAATAATGGTGCTCATGATTCTGTTGGAGGTCAACCAACAGAAGCAAGAAATTTTGACTCATTCTCATTTTCTAAAATAGCTATTGGTTCAGGTTATAAGAAGGTTAGTAAATATGTAAAACTGTCTGTATTAATTGGGTTTTAGGGACATGAAACTATTGATTTCATTGAATATTTCTTACATTTTAGTTCCCTTAAAAAAAAATTGAATTCAATCGGTTGAGAATTAGAAAAAAGCAATTTGAAAAGGGGGCTATTTTGTGTGCAGTTAATGCTGCAAAAAATAACCCCACTGCGTGTAAAGCATGTTCAATAAGCAAAAACTACTTTGATTCTGTTGGAACTATTTAGAATTCCCTTCTTCAGAAAGGGGGTTGGGTGGCGGAACTGTTTAACGTGTGGGTGTTATATCATAAGATCTGTCATTGAGTCAATTCCCAAGTTGTACGCGACAAGGACCCATTTATCTCTGTCTTCTTCAGTGGCTCATTCTCTATTTGTTCGATCCCTGCATTGGCCGAGAAAGTTCATCTGACATGGTTTCCCTTTTCAGTGTTGCAGGACAGAGGGTCTGACATGGACAGCTGTCTAGTCGTTTGGATGTTATGAAAAACAGAGGTCCTGTGTATACATTGACATCCACGTAAAAGATCCCTTGGCAGTTGGAATTCAATAAGAGTAGGTCATAGTACCGCTGCCCGGGCAAAATTTGCCTCATATGCCCATCTTCATTAGCCCAGTCATTTCATTTATTCTCTGTTGTTATTGGTCAGACGAACAACTATTCTCCAGTCAATATGCTCATTTAATGTTCAGTACATGTGACAAATCACAATTACTTTTATTTTGGCAAGAAAACTTAGCTATTCTTTCTTGTCGGATTTGCCGAGTAGCTGTATGATATTAATTAATACATGACAATTTTTTTCTAAGCAATGATCAATCATTTCAGACCTATGTAGCAACCACAGAAGAAGAATTAAAACATGGCATGAAAGAACTTATGATGGCAGATGGACCAGTTTTATTAGAAATCAGAACCTCTACTGGATCTCGTTCAAATTTAGGTCGACCCACAAGGACTACTATTGAAAACAAGGAGGATTTTATGGATTTCATTTCCCAATATTAGGAACCATCTGATCAAGATATGACTGTAACGAATTCCAGAGATGGTCAAGATAGATAAGATGGTTTTGACAGACCACTAATTTAACTTTTATCAGTAGGTAGTGTTCACACAAATAATCATTGTAAATAGTCAGAGTCGATGATTGATAATTGAAGTAGTGATTGTTGACTATTTGTAATCAAAGTAGGCAAAGAAATTTGGCACTAATTTAAATATTTCATCTGGACTTGTATTGCATTCCCATTATTATGACGCACTTGAACATTTTGTTACCAGGTTTTAAATTAAGGGTTGATTAAATTTGAATCGGTGTGATTTACATTAGTGCATTAATGACAATGTATCCATGAACTGAGTTTATGTGACTGGAATTCAAAAACAAAATGGTGGATGGACTGTTATTGTCTATACTGTACATTTTGTTACATATATTAGGCTACTCGTGTGATCTCAGAAGCAATCTTTATAATGATACACCATTTCAATATTGTAGCAAACAAACACACAGTCTAGAGAAAAAAAACAACTATTTATAATTGATTGTTCGTGTGAATACTATCGGTATTGTTATCTTGCAAATTGATTCAAATATTTCTCTAGCTATTCTACGTTCTTTACGTCTCAGTTGGTTAACCGAAAACAGACTTGCATAGCCTACGTGCAAATCACTTTTTCAATATGTACGGAAATCCCATGTTGTGTTCGGCCAGTTTGAATCAGTGGCATGTGCTACGCTTTACAGTTGGTGGAGGTCATATCAGTTGGAACAGAGAAGTTAACCCTCATTCAATGGCAGAAATAGTTCAGACAAATTTCTATCCCCTTTGTATCAGGCGAACCATGCATAATTGGGTTAAAATTATATTGATAAAATGCGGAATGTGGGTGCACTAAAGTACTCTTGCTATAATATATATTTTACTTAAAAGCTTGATGTGTCATTTGCATTTTCGCTAAAATATTAAATTTCTAACAGCTAAATACACTCTAAATATATAAGCCTACTCAGATTGATTATTTAACATTTAAATAAGACAACAGAATCAAACTACCAACGCTAGATAATCTCCCGACTTGGATTCAATCGGATTTAAACTAGGCCCATCAGGTTTCACCGCTATGTTTCTCTTGTTACACTCAAGCAGCAAAGATTCCTATATTGCTTAATGACACATCATGCTTTTAATACTACCATTACTTATTATGTAACAATTGATATCTTTAATGTCAGAGATACAATTCTTCAAAACTTTGGCACTGAACATAATATATATATAATAATCTTAGATCTGGTTCAAATTGTGGGATTTTCATTGGTTGTTTTTTGCTCATTTTTTGAGTGGCAATATTAGAATACTTTCATGTAAATTTTTATTTATTTATGATGGTTTTTTTTATATGCCTGTTGTTGACATCTTGTTAAGTTTAGTTGGAATTTAATGTTTAATTTTTGAACAATTATTATTAATACAGTATGACTGATGATATTTTATGTATATTTTATTTTATCACCCAATAATACATTCTACAGTATATATCGCTTGTGTGATATATTTCATAATCTACTGCGATGATATCGCTTAACATGAATTTGATTAGTCAGTTGAAAAGGAACTACTTTTTTTTATTTTCAAAGAACAGTTCATTTCTTATTAAAAGTAACTTGTTATTTATTAAAAATGAACTATTGTTATTCAATTGACCTTGATGGAAACACTGGGTCAATATAAAGGACTTTGCAATGGTTGAATTGCTGTCAAAAAATGATGTATCACTACGCTGTAATGTTCAGTAAAAGTGAAATCTACAGCAAAGAATTATATTTATCTATTTGTGCATGTAAGAAGGGATTGGGTGATAAATAAAATCTCCTACTCGTCTTTAATGCCTCGTTTATTTTACTTTATCAACTTGTGTTGATATTTTTTGATATCAAAAAAGACTGGTAGGAGATTCTTTATGTATTGGTGATTGGAAATCGAAAGTTACTATTCTATTAACCTTAGTTGTATCATCATAAAATCGAGATGTCTCAGAAATGGTTTGAGGTAATCTTCATAACATTGAAGCTCATGAGCAATTCTTTGTTCTAATAACAAAAATGATTAACATTGTTTATGACAATAAATACATATCGTTTATCTTATTATAAATAGACAAGCAGAATACCCACCTTTGCCTGGGGGCCCAAATTCGATGGCCTAAAACATTCACAGGGTCATGCTGGTTAATTTGATACCATATGTGGGGAAGGATTGCAGCAACGAAGCATGATGGGCAATCTTATTAAAATACAGATTTATATTTCATTTCATTTTTTTACACTTTCAATGGCCTCCACCACATGAAGATCTGACCAATTGTAGTCGGAGGTCATATGAGAGGCTTTTGACCCTATGACATCACACATTTGATTAACCAATCAGTGCTGATGTTTCTAGTGGGATACCCAGTTTCGTGCACTTGCACACCAAGAACTGGTTGCAACAGACCGTTACATTGGCTAATCCCTCACATCAACCAGAACACAGGTTATATAACAACTCTTCCAGATCCTGGTGTAGTAAAACGAAATTTTAAACCATAAAAAAAGAAACGAAATAGGATCTGTGTTTTAATTAGATTGCATGATGGGCATACACACATACAGACATCTTGATTTTATTTATATAGATAGACTAACACGATACCCGGTTTCTTCCAGGGCCCAAATTCACTGGGTCATGCTTGTTAATTTGATAACACATATTGTTTGGCATTTGTTAAATAAGGCACAATAAGAAATGTTGGCTTTGGGTTCATGCAGGAAATATATGCGGTCATTAACATTGATATTACACATTCACAGTTCCGTGCCATATTTGAAATCTGGGGCCTGTACATGTGCTTCAATTAGCCAGAACTAATTCACTACCTGTTTTCTGTTTTTGACAGATTAACATACCTGTCTTTAACAGATTAACAATCATTTGACTTCTTTTGTGGGGGGTGGGGGAAACAATATAAGATTTTTTCATGCATTCAATACTATCTAGTCGACAGAACCATGCACTCTTTCAGTTATACAATTTAATATGAATTGTACCGGTTATTTTAAAGAACTGTGATTTTATTTTAAATGGTTATTTATATATAGTATGTCCTATACATCTATTTTCATCAATTATGTTATCTGTAACTTTGTCAAATATTTTTAAAAAATGTTCATTTTGAAGTATATTTAATGTATGAAATTTTATATTTTATGATGTATTTACATAGGTTTGTTTATACATGAATATGAAATTAAATTATTATCAATTTTTATATGCAATGTTGTGCCTATATAGTGTATGTTCTTAATTAAACACCCCTGTCCATCGTCAATGATTGCCAATTACTGAGAAATTCTTTTGGAACCTTGGTGGACCAATGTTACATAAGCCAAAGGACTTAAAATTTATATCATTCTATTGATGTTCAATGATTTCTAATCTTTACTTCAGATTCTAATTGAATTCATGTTTTTATACAGTGTTTATAATACGAACAAGACTACTGATTGATATTCAATGATTTCTAATAATTAATTTACTAAGCAAAAAGCAAATACCGGTATTGAATTTTAAGACATATTTACATAACATTTATTTTGCTTTGTTTCTACCAACATTGAGGCCATAACTAACCTACATTTTTTTTTTTTAAATTAAAATCACTATTTTCAGTCACACTTTTCAGTCCATGTTTGTGTTTATTTTAAATAATGAACTGGATTAGTGGCCTTTTGAAATAATGTACACTTGTTTCAGCTTTTAATAATGTACTGTAAGCTTTAAAAACTTCATTTAACATAATCTATTTTATAATAAACCAATATACTGTCTAAATATTTTGTCAGGGTTGATATTTATAGGGATATGAGCTTGTCTGTTGTCATCATTTCCTTGTGACCACTCTAGTACTACATACTAGCTATATGTATTGTTTCCATTATTGTGCTGAAGAAGCTTATTTAGTTATTGCCCATGGTAACTTTGTAGAAACTTTAAGGGAAAAATGTAACATCTACTGGGAAATTTATATGCATTGTTTGAATTAGTGAGTATGACCGGTATATTTCCTTCATATTTAACCTCTTTGGTAGAGAGTGTCAAACATTTTTGATATGAACTTTTTTCCACATACAGGTCTCTTGATTCACCATTTTTATATGCCCACATTGATATGTGGTCGTATATTGTCGTTGCCCCCTTCAGTCCGATTGTGGACACTCTAGAGGCTAAAGTTAATATCCGATTGACTTTAAATTTATATACACAGTGTTTAAGGTCATGAGACAAAGAAGCTATTGATTTTCATTGATTTCTGATAATTACTGCCAGAGTTATGGCCCTTGATCACTTTGAAACATCTGGTGGACGCTCTAGGCACTGCCAGAGTTATGGCCCTTGATCACTTTGAAAAATCTTGTGAACGCTATAGAGGCTAAAGTTAATATCCGATTTATACAGTGTTTAAGGTCATGAGACGAAGAATCCTATTAATTTACAATGATTTCCGATGATTATGGTAGTTGATATTAAATATTTTGTATGCTAAATGTTAGAATAGGGCAGAACTAGAAGCCAAATGGGTTGGTACTCGTAATCAGATTTTTGTGTGTTCAGTGTTGTAAATGTTTTCATTTCTGACATAAGAAAAAAATATGAGACAACCCATGTTGACTTAGCTGCTGTTGTGGGTGTACGTTTTGCTGCCTGGCAATCAATTTTTAATTTAAATCATGAAATGGTGATCATGTTTCAATCCATTTAAATCTCACCATCCACTGGTGTAGAGAGTTGATTATAGGCTTGTCATGTGAATAAATGTCTAAAATAAAATGGGGATTGACGTCCTATAACATTTGAAGCCAAAAAAAAGACCGGCAAAGGTAGATTTAGCTCTTACATAATGCATCTTTAAATTCATGACACTTCTCGGATAACAACTTTTTTTTTTTTAATATTCTGAGGAATCCAACGTGTTGCAATGGCTGATACAAAGTGTGATTGGCCATTTCATTTTTTTTTTCTACAGTTAGTTTAAAGAATCTATAGAGTGCTCCATCATTTTTTAGGTGATTTTCAAATATTGTGTGACTTTACTTCTTGATTTAAAAGGGGATGAAAGAATTGCTATAGTATAAATAGACAAATCAAGATAAGGGGAAGTAATTCCTAACTGACAATCATAATGTCGTCAGCGATTTGATATCAAAATGGTGTGCTACTATACAACAAAAAAAATATATGAAATTGTACAAATTAATATGAGGTTCATACTTCCTTTACCAAATGTTAACCAGCGGCTGCCAGGCAGGATACGCCCACATTTTGCAACAGATGGATACAGAACAAGCTAATAACAAACGCGATTTTTGTACAATCAGGGGAAAAAATCCAGAAAGTTATGGCCTGAAATGTGCAAGTATCAAAATGGACGGAGATCTTTGGGATATAAAGATATGTTATAAGTTTCATCAAAATCGGATAAAAATTGTGACCTCTAGAGGGTCCACAACCTTCGTATTACACACTTCTACACAATTTGCATACAAAGAGCGGCCATTTTGTCCGGCAGTTTCATTTAGATTTTCCCGAAATATGACTTAATCTTCATTATGGTGGAATGGTGATGTATTTAAACGTTTTTTAAAATCGGAAAAAAATTGTGACGTCTGGAGAATCCGCAAGCTAAAAATGCAATTTTTTGAACAATCTGGGGCCATAATCTAGGAAGTTAAGTTTGGGTATCCGCGATTATCAAAAGGAACCAAGATCTTAGTGTGTAATGGTGATATATTCACACGTTTTTTTAAATTGGATAAAAATTGTGACCTCTACAGGACTACAAGCTAAAAACGCGATTTTTCGTACAATCGGGGGCCATAATTCAGGAAGTTATGGTCCGATATGCACGAATATCGAAAGGAACCGAGATCTGTGGGTTATAAACCTGCATTTCAAGTTTCATCAAAATCAGATGAAAATTGTGACCTCCAGAGGGTCCACAACCTTGGTTTACTAGATGTTTACACTATTTGCGAACGAGGGGCGGCCCTTTTGTCCGTCAGTTTCGGTATGATTTTTACGAAATTCGAACTCAACCATCCTTAGGGTGTCATGGTGATATATTCACACGTTATTTTTAAATTGGATAAAAATTGTGACCTATGGGGTCCACAAGCTAAAAACTCGATTATTCGTACAATCAGGGGCCATAATTCAGGAAGTTATGGTCCGATATGCGCGAATATCAAAAGGAACCGAGATCTGTGGGTTATAAACATACATTTCAAGTTTAAACCAAATTGGATAAAAATTGTGACCTCTACAGTGTTCACAAGCTAAGACGTGATTTTTCATACAATCAGGGGCCATAATCCATGAAGTTACGGTCCGATACATGCCAATATCGAAAGGAACCCAGATCGTGGGGAGATAAACCTACATTTCAAGTTTCGTTGAAACGGATAAGAATTGTGACCCGTGGACGGACAGGGGCGACAACAATATACGTCCATATAAAAAATTTAAAACTAAAATAATCAAGTTTATCTACAAGGAACATTTATTTCTATAACAATTTTCCTTTTACAGACTGTCTAAACTGACAACCTGGGGTTGACGTCAATCCTGCCTTGCACATCTTATGCCTGGCATTGAAACGGGTTAATCAAGAAGAGCACACGCCGTACAGTGTGCTATGAGGGAAATTTTGCCTGGGTTCTTTTACATGCAATGCCAATGTGTACACATACAGGACCTCTGTTTTTTGTCCCAACTGAACGACTATGTTATTCCTTGCAAGACTCTTTGTCCTGCACCCGGGGGATCACGTGGCTAAGTGGGTAAGCCGCTGGCTCGCTAGCCTGGAGGTCGGGTGTTCGATCCCTGCATTGGCCGAGAAAGTTCATCCAGATTTTCCGGCGTGGTTTCCCCTTGTCAGTGATGCAGGACGGAGGGCCTGACAAGGACAGCTGTCTAGTCGTTCTGATGGTACGAAAAACCGAGGTTCTGTGTACATATTGGAGTGCACTCTATGGCGTATGCCTGTCTTCATTAGCCCAGTTTAGGAGCAGAACAATAGGATGTTAAACCCCATTTCATTTCATTTCATTTGTCCTGCACCACTGACAACTTGAAATGCGCCGGAAAATCAAGATCAACACTGGGATTGAACACACAGAACCTCCAGGTTAGCAAGCCAACGTCTTACTCACTGAGCCCTGTGGCTCCATTAATCAACCAAGAAGACAGATTGAACAGTTAGATGATTTAATCACCATATTTTTGTTGTTTTACAAATATATTATACAAATGAAATAAAGAATGATTGTAACTGTATATGAACTAAAGGATGATATAAATATTTTAACTTGTCACATCTGTATAATCTGGGTTTTTCTTCAGTATAACAAATCCTTCCATAATAGGTGTTAAACAGATATCTAATAGATCAGTTAAGGTTCATTAATATAATAGCTCAAATGCACATGTAAGAAACTGTAAAAACAGAAATGCCTAAATGGGCCTGAGGATTATTGATCTATGCAGGGCTACCGACAACCAGTATCACAGCGCAATTTGCTATACATATTTTGGCTAATAAAAATCATTAATATGCCTATCATTTTGGAAATTGACACAAAGATTAATCCATATTTTGAAGACAAGAAGACTTTCTCAACATTTTCCATTGTGTATAAAATGCCAACTAAAAGTTTATAAACAAAACTTAATTCTTCGTATGACATTTTCTTCTCGAACTACCCAGATACAATTCGTTACTCTATAAAAAAGGAAAATAACTTTGATTATAGAGAATCGAGTACGCCAAGTACCACTCATGTTGCGAGAAATGTCAATTTCAAGTAGTTATATAAGTATTCAATTTGAAAATAATCCAGTGTAAATAAAATAAATAAATACATAGTTATATCAGTATTCAATTTGAAAATAATCCAGTGTAAATAAAATAAATAAATACATGTAAGAATTCCTGTAAAATATTATTTTCAACGCTTGTGTCTAGTTAATTTGTTAATTTCCATGTATCTCCGGTTGAACAAAAATAGTAACACACGGCAAAAAGCAAGACAAAATTATTTCCTAACAAAGAAATAAAAATTAAGAAACATGAGTGGGGCTTAGGAAGCCACTGCCAAGAACTGGCCTCAGTGGTTAAACACTGATTGTTTTGAATTCGATGTCGAGCATGGCCGTGTTCTATGTAGCCTGTTGTTTGTTAGTCCTAGGTCATTTCAGGAATAACATATGGTTTAATTTTATTTCAATAATTCACTTTGGCATAAGGCTTTAAGTAGCTGGAGGAAACCGGAAGACCTGGAGAAAACCCATGATTGAGGTTGGACAGACGACCCTACTCCTTGTCACGTACAGGCTGGAAATCGAAACCACACCACTTGACTAAATGACAGACCATATAGTTTCACATGCACGAGTTAAACCACTAGACCACCCAACCCTAACCCTTCATTTCATAGGAACATCATCTTGTCCCCTTTTCATAGGAACACCATCCCGTACACTAGTCACTAGAACTAGCATATTATTTTGAAGACATACTCTTTAACTTATCATAAAGATGGATTGCCAGGCAACGAAATATACGCCAACAGCAGCTAAGTCGTCTGAGCAGTCCACAAAGGTTGTTTTTCAGTCAATAATACTAATAGAAGCATGAGTTAACATTTCAATTTATCATAAAAAGGATACATTCTTCTGTAGCTAATTCAGCTCGTTCACCGTGTGCTAATAAAACAGGTGTGGTGTGAGTCTGGAAGCCTGTGATAGTTTTAGGTTTACCAGCTTGACCTACAACA